CTCACTAACTGTAAGTCGCTCTGGATAAGAGCGTCTGCTAAATGACTAAAAATGTAAAATGTGTCTGCCTCTGAAACAGAAACACCACGAAATGGGCCTACAACGAACAAGAAGTAATCATTTGACTTGTCAACGCCTCAGCTCTCGGCTCAAATTTTATCTCTTGTGAATTCCCCCGCAAACCATTTCATTCAAACAGTTGATGATAAACTGAAATAATGAGCATAAAAGGGAAGAATTAAACCAAAACAAAGGGAGAAAGCCATGTTATTTAAGACCGACCACTCCGTGGGTCATTGGGAATGCACTGAGGCTTCAGATAACCCAAAGGTCTGGGAGGTCCTGTGTTGAAAGGCTGTTATGCATCATTAGCTGGATGCTTTGGCTCTGTAAAAAATAAACCTGCTGTGTGTAGTAGTAGTAGCTAGCTAGTGTTTGTCAAGTGTGGGTGTGTGGGTGTGCGTGCAACATGATGGCAGATAGCCAGCTCTGATTGCAATAGTCTTCCTGTGGTCTACAATCTTCATGACCACTTCCTTTCTCCCTGCGAGATCCGTAATGAAATGTTTCTTATTTTCCACCATAGCTGCCTTGTCTCTCTCTAAACAGTGTTTTCCAGCTCTGCAGGATCTAGCAAGAGAAAGGGAATCCATTCCACAGTAGCCCACAATATCATCAATATCATCATGATTCTCTGGATGATTTAGCATGTCACGCTCTAAACAAGAACGGCTGGAGTGATAATTACAGGGGAGAATTAGCAGCAGGAGGGAAGAATGCAGCCCTCCAATGGGAGCTTTTGTTTGGCCCTGTTTGTGCCAGAATGGGATGTTTCTGTTTTCAATTTCTGCAAGAGATGCTTTAATCTAATTAAAACCAGAGCAATGGCAGAGACACAACATCGCTGCCTGAGCCACTATGGCGGTTTGCACAACAAAGCCGCCCCCTAGGAATTCACTGTGATATGTTTTAGTCAACATAGCGTTGAAGTGAATTAGTAGTCCTACAAAAAGTTGGGCCATGTTGTAAACAGGAGTTTTAAAAGCACCCCAAGGTTCGCTGTCCTCAACAGAGAGAAGTGTCACAAGGCCATGCAGAGTTTAGATTTAGGCTGCTGGCCAACTAAGTACACTCCCTGGGTTTATGCTGAAAGGGTCAAGTCATGTTTGAACTTCTGGCCAACTAAGTACATTGGTCGTCACTAGTTACCACAGCCACAAAGTCATAAACCCACCTATTTCTACAATTTCTATTTCTAAAATATGATTTTGAACCTAACCCTAAACACACTGTTAACATTTTGCCTAACATTAAATGAAGACCAAAAAGCTAATATTATTTTATTAATATTTACAAAATAGCACATTTTGACTTTGTGGCTGTGCTATCTAGTGGAAACCAAGTACATTCCCTGGGTTTATGCTGAAAGGGTCAAGTCATGTTTGAACTGTAATTCCATCTGGTCATACAAGGCGACAAACCTATCATGTAATATTCATTTAAACAGTCTTTTACAATCTATAGGAAATATATATTTGTCTATACTCTCTGACTCACGGATGTGTTTAGATGGTCAGGGATTGAGATGCAGTCAACCTCCATCCCCATCTCCCTTTCACTGTTTCTCTTTTCCTTTTACACACACACACACACACACACCCACCCCTGTGGTGCGGAGGACAAGGTGTTGTGCCCTTGACCATGAAGGTGGTATTATGTGTCAATTAGAGGGTGTGCTGTTCATCACGCCACTCCACAGACACAGAAAGTTGCCAGTGAAAATGGAGCCCATAGAAAGTCATTTGAGGCTCCGGCGCAAGCAGTGATATAGACCCTTATGGATTATTGTGTGTGTGTGTGTGTGTGTGTGTGTATTATGTTCCTGTACGTGTGTATAGAAAGACTGTGATCCCCTGGTTTCCCAGACAAGTATTCATCATGTCACAGCGTATGGTGTATGCCATAGTTGATGGTACTGTATAATGCCATGCGGGACACAAGCCCAGAGTGAGAGATGGAGCCTGACACAGACACAGGCGGGGGAAATTCTTCCACCGTCAAACACAATGACTGCCCTCATCGCACACCTGATCCCCAGCCTATCTCAACCAGCCCCAGTCTCATCCCCAAGCCTGCATCTGTCCTTCTCCTAGCTACAGACCCCGCGTCAGCCTTTTTCTCCAATCCCCAGTCCTAGACCCAGCCACATGTCAACATTTGTCCCCGCCCTCCTCGGCCTCTCATCAATGCCCAGGCACTGATCAAGCCAGAAGCATACTGGATTAACTGGTCTCATTTCAGAAGGCTCCCCACAGTTCAGATCCTTTAGCTCACACATTTAACTTGCACCATATCTATTTCGCTCCTTCTCAAGATTGCTTCTCCTCCAAACATGATACATACGTTTGTCAGTTTAGCCTTCTAGCGCTCATCTGTATATGATACCATTAGCAAGACAGGTGTCCAGTCTCTTAACAGGCTTTGAAGTAAAACGCATTAGCTCACTGCAGTCGACCAGTTGCAATTTATATATTTTCCCATACCTTCTCTCTCTCAATTCCTAATGTAAAAACAAATGTCCCGTTTCGCTCTCAAATCCTTGTCAGATGCAGTCGCCACGTGTTCAGAATGCCAATTCTCTCGTCCTATTTAACCGAAAGTTTTCATTGCTGACCAGCTGTCTTGTAAGTTTGTGTTTGTGCGTAGCAGCCTCATGACAACTTTACTTACTGCTTGCTTGTTGTCAAGCAACACAGACAAGATAATATCAAGTGTTTTATCTCAGTTCTGTCTTTCTCTTGGTTTTCGCTGTGCTGCTGGAGTTTCTAACATTCTGTCTATCTGAGTACGTGATGAGCCTTGGCAAACAGTGCCATCCAGCCCTCGAGGCTGCAGAACAGAACACTAACCCTCTTGTCTCAGAAACATAACACTGTCTGGGAGACAGATGGGCTGTTATTAAAAATAACACACTACTTCTAACCCTGCAATGCCGTTTCTATCTGAAGTGTGTCACTTACTGAGGAAAGATGGGAAGTGTTAATCGAGGACTTTGAAAGGACACTCATTTTCATTTTAGCTTGTCAGTCTAAGCTTTCACAAAATAAATAGACTGAGGGAAAAGAAGAAGATAATATATTTGTAATGTTGTTGTCAGTGTGATCCTCTTTGCTGTGGCATCTAGTGAACAGATTTGTTAGTAGCGATGATGGGGTTGCCGTGGCAACCTCAGCCCTATGCTATTTCGGTTCCAGCCGATACTCTACTCCTCTCTCTATCCTCTGCCTTCCAACACACGCCTCGTACTCCCTCTGTCTCTCCTACACACCTCCCATCCCTCTTCTACTTCCTCCAATTTCTCCTACACATCTCTCTCCTCTCCCTACCTCACTTCATCTATCTACCCCCAACCCAATCTCCAGGATTTGAGCTTTGAGCTCCTTTGTGGCACACAGTCTGACACTAACCTGCTGCAGGAGCTCCACACACAGACATCAGAGCAGCCTGACCATCAAAGAGCCAGCCAGCCAGTCCACCAGTCAGCCAACCAATCAACCACTGTGGTCTGGTCTGCATGCTGGGGCCCTGACAAAGAGAGAAAATTAGTGCTGAGCCTCCAACCGCATGGGCCTTGGTATCTGAGCCTTATCTGCAGCCTGCAGAATAACATCCAGTCCCCTGCAGGTCCAGATATGCATCTAAATGTGTCTGTCCGGCCGGGCTGCAAGCTGATGTATGCAGAGCGGCTAGCTGCTCTTGTCTAGGAGGTCCTCTGTTCCTAAACCTTCCCTGAAGTCACACATATCAGACTAATGGCCAGTGTCTGTCTGAGCCCTGGAGAGGATGTAGGGACTGTAAACTACCTGGCCACTGTGTGGATGGGCTGAAGGCAGGCTCGGAGAAAGAGATTAGCCCATCCCTATGATGTGTGGTCAGTTGGCCTGGACAGGGACATTGACAATAGGTCGGGTCAGGGTCACAGCTGAGGGATATTATTGTCTTGCATGACCAAGGTTTCATATAAACAGACATCCCCCTTAACCCACGGCCCAGAAGCTATTAGGAGCTATTAGATTTAGGAACATTGGGAACAAAGCCAGAGCAAATTGCATTCCAACTGTTGATCCAGAAAGGTTGTCTTATTGCTGGAAGGCACAGCCTCTGGTTAGCCACCCTTTATAACTTGTTGTTCAGGAGTGGATGAAGAACCACAGTGGTTATTTTCTGTTCAGCTGGAGGACGGTGAAAACGGAAACATGTCCTGTGGAAATCGGAAAAGGAAAGGTTTGACATGTGTGACAAACATACGTGACCCGTTGAGGCGGCCGGCGTCGCGGCATCCATGGGAGACTGTTTGCGGTCTCTCTCCTCACGGTAGCTCTCGACTGGAACACCTGGGAGACGTCTAACCCTGGGGTGCCACAGCAGGACCTAATGATCTCCTTTAAACAGGAGGAAGGATGTCGGGTGTCTCCTAAAATGGCAGCACCGTAGATGTGATCCAGGATACACTCTGAACCAAGCCAGCCAAACTCTTTCAAGTATCCGTCAGCCTTTTGACAGTGTCTTCCCATTGATACTGTACCATACCAGCACCCAGTGGTGTGGTGGAATGGCAACAATAGAGAGAGACAGAGGGATGAGAGGAAGTGGGTACTTTGTTCCTTTACCCAGCTACCGATCTCTCTTCTCTCTCCTGCTGCTCTCTGGGGTATTGTTGATGAATATTGTAGCTAGCTGTCCATGAGATGGGCTGACTGCCAGTTACCCTCTGTACCTCATTGTCACCTTCCAACTAAATGCCACCAACTGTTTATTTTAATGTGTTGTGACCTTTATGGTTTAGCAACGCAGAGAGAGAGAGAGAGAGAATGATTTAAAAGGCTTGACTTTTGCTCCTTGCCTCCTAGTAATGGTTGTGGTTGAAAGTGGCCTTGGCGGCCTGGCTGTGCTGGTTTGAATTGATGCCAGGGCCAGGGGAGAGATGAAGAGAGAAGAAGATGGATGAAGAGGATGAGCGAAAGAGAAATGGAAAACGAGCTGGAAAGAGAGGGTGAACAGAGCTTCATTCAAACCTCATCTTCATTAGCGTTGAGGCCATCGACTCATTTGAACCGACTGCACTGAAAACATGCAATTCTCAAATTTTCCAAGCATTCTATTTTGTTGTTGTTTTTCAATTAAGCTTCCTGATATTTTCTGCTGGGTTTGCAGTGCACCCAGGGTTAACACTCTGCAGCTATTGTCTTTTATAAGCAGCTGTAATGATGTGATGTGTTAGCTGCTCTCTCCGTGGCTTCCCCTGGGAAAGCATTCATTAACGTTAGCTATGACACGGACAGGGATATGAAAACCTTAAGCATACATTCAGAGCCACGGGGGGGGGGTCTCTCAGGGTTAAATATGTGCATATGTTACAGGGCTGGAATGCGGATCCCATGACTTCTGATTTTCCCCTGTTCCAACAGTATTATTTATTTAGTTAGTGTTTCATAGGGAGAGAATGAACCCTCTGCTCCTTCTATCCCTACCTAACTTCACTGGAAAACACTGACCTGCTGTAAAAATGTATCCACTTTGTGGGGTGATATAGCTGTTATTGATTGAAGTGTGTTTTCTGTAGGCCTACAGATGTTCCTCACGTGATGTGATGGGGTTTTAACTGCTCATCCTATGGATATAGAGTATGGATGGAAGAAGTGGGAGGCTTTGGTATGAGGCTCCCCACTTAGGTTTGATTGATGAACAACGCATTTGGATAGAAGAGGGCTAGTGTGTGTGTTTCTGTCAGTTAATCTAGAATGATTTTGCTGCTTGTCAAGCCGCAACACCTGCACTTTAGTTGCAGCCAAGAGTGAAGCCACTTGAACCCTATTACACTAATAGTCAATTGATGAGCTACTTGCATCACTCACTCAACTTTACTTTGTTGTAACCTACTTTCACTCTCACACTGAGTGCAGCATAAGCTTCCTCTCCTCTCTACTCTGTTAGCCCCTAATTGAGCCACCAGTATTTGAGTTTGTCACCGCTGCCATTCTGCTTTGAAAAATAACCTGGTGCTCCTCTCAGCTCATTTAGAAGTGATCTCGGGCCTCCCAGGCTCTCTGTGTCCCTCAGCTCGCTGGTTTGATGTCCCGCTCTCTCTTAGTGTTTGACTGCAGGGGAGGGAGGCCACAGCAACACACCACACACCAGCCTGCCTGACTGAGGTCTACTGGAGAAAACATGTAGGCATGGAATGAAAAGGAAACATACTGTACATGCTAGCCTTGCACCCAGGGGAGTGGATAATGTTAGATGTTAGTTTGTATGTTGAGTGTGTGTGTATAGGGTGGGGATTGATGGGAGGGGTGTGCATTCATGTTTGTCAACATTTTCTTTAGATTAACTATAGAACTATAATATATGCAGTACATGCCAAGGCCTTGAGCGAGAAAGCATGCCTGTGTGCGTGCAATATATGTTTGTAGCTCTAAGAACCAGCAATAGGGGGACAGATCAGTCATGTCACAGTAACAGCTGATTATTATCACCATGAATTAGAATTCCCTGTTTACAACCTGCCTGGCAAGCAGCTAGCAGGTAGGCGCTAACTAATGACTGGAAAGTGGTAAATACTGCTAAATACAGGACATGTCATGGCCATGCTATGCTAGTACAGCATCACCCTATAGCAGGGGTAGGCAACTACATCCAGTCGGAGTGGATGTTCGGGGGGCCGGAACATAATTATAACCCTGCAAATTGACCCCAACTAAGCCTAAAAAGAGATTGTATTTGAAAATAGCAATTATCTCATACCTTGAATTACATTGAGACATGATCACATATGTCTCTTGGGAACAGGTTTTTTAAAATTAAACATGTTTTAGCAGAATTTTGCAGTCCCCCCCAAAAAAAAAGAATCACATGAAGGTGCACTGCAAACCATAGAATAAAAAAAAATATGGTGAATCTCTATGTTGCTAACCCCAACCCCTATGCATGTGCACTGCAATTTGACTGCAAACCATAGAAATTAACCTTACAGAGATACTACGTCAACTGTGGACATGAACTCCGAGCTCTGGAACAGATCTTCATTGGCTGGACATGTGGAGATCCCAGAGAGAGCTCTAGAAATGAGTTTAAAGGCCCCATGAATGTCTCTCCTTTCTCATCTGCCTCTGAGGGGACAGTACTTGTTCACGTTATCTGAGCCCTTGGCTCCGAAATGGCAATTCCATAACTGTCTGCCTGGAAGAGACGAGTCCAAGACCAAGGAATTACAAGAGAACGGGGAAATGTAGGATTGTGTATTTACAGATTCTTGGTTATTAAAACACTGTCTTGGATTTAAAGTGAATTTGGCACTGGGAGGTTTGAACATGGCTGAGACTTGGTGCTGAAAGAATCATAGGCTTCACAGCAGGCAGAGTCTGATAAATGGCCTTGAATTTGCGGAGTCTGCACTGACTGAATGTCTGACAAAAGACAAGTCGTATGGAGAAACGTATTGCTACAGCGCTGTTCTGTCTGTTTCAGTTCTACTGTTCTACTCACTCTGCTGCCAAGCTATGTTATGCTCTATAAGCCTCAGACAAAAGCAGTTCAGTTGTCAGTCACACTTTAGATGGCCTCTATTTGATCACTGGCCTCTCGGACTCACAGAGCTCCTTAGAAACCTGAATCCTCAACACAAACAAGCATCTTTCTTTGGTTATGACTGGGAACCCTCTGTCCACGCACCACAATTGGTTTACATGGCTGTGGCGGGATATTCTGCAGGGATGAGGACAGGAGCTCTGAAAGGAAACAGCTCTATGGGCTGTCTGGATCTGGCAACCCCAGGATGAATGGACCAAAGCCAGCCAGTCTCACATCTTTCAAAATTACGGGTGTGAACCTCAGATTTAGACGTGAAAATGATTATTCAAGGTTTGTGCATTTCCTGAAGACCGAGGTCTGCTCATGCCCAGAGCTGGATGTAGTCTAGCCCAGCTCTGCTCCCTCACGTCTCCTCTCCATGGCTTTGGAGTAAATTGTCTGACTCTAGACTTTCATATCTTTCTTCTCTTCCTCATTAAGGTGATGGTAAAAGGCCCTTCCAGATAGCCAAGTATTTTTCATCCATTGAAGCAAGTAGTACTTGTATTAATTATAAGGCTTTCACCACTTTTTACACTGAACAAAAATATAAACGCACCATGTAAAGTGTTGGTTTTATGAGCTGAAATAAAAGATCCCAGCAATTTTATATATGTACAAAAAGCTTATTTCTCTCAAATGTTGTGCACAAATTTGTTTACATCCCTGTTAGTGAGCATTTCTCATTTGCCAAGATAATCCATCCACCTGAAAGGTGTGGCATATCAAGAAGCTGATTAAACCGCATGACCATTACACAGGTGCACCTTGTGCTGGGGACAATAAAAGGCCACTAAAATGTGCACTTTTGTCACACAACACAATGCCACAGAGGTCTGAAGTTTTGAGGGAGCGTGCAATTGGCATTCTGACTGCAGGAATGTCCACCAGAGCTGTTGCCAGATAATTAAATTGTCATTTTTTACCATAAGCCTGTCGTTTTAGAGAATTTGGCGTTATGTCCAACCGGCCTCACAACCGCAGACCACGTGTAACCATGCCAGCCCAGGACCTCCACATCCAGCTTCTTGACCTGCGGGATCGTCTGTGACCAGCCACCCGGACAGCTGATGAAACTGTGGGTTTGCACAACCGAAGAATTTCTGCAGTAACTGTCAGAAACATTCTCAGGGATGCTCCTCTGCGTATTCGTCATCCTGAGTTTGGCGCCACTGGCACGCTGGAGAAGTGTCCTCTTCACGGATAAATCCCGGTTTTAACTGTACCGGGCAGATGGCAGACCATGTGTATGACGTCGTGTGGGCGAGCGGTTGGCTGATGTCAACGTTGTGAACAGTGTCCTATGGTGGAGGTGGGGTTATGGTATAGGCAGGCATAAGCTACGGACAACGAACACAATTGCAATTTATCGATGTGCGATTTGAATGCACAGAGATACCGTGACGAGATCCTGAGGCCCATTGTCCTGCCATTCATCCTCTGCCATCACCTCATGTTTCAGCATGATAATGCACGGCCCCATGTCGCAAGGATCTGTACACAATTCCTGGATGCTGAAAATGTCCCAGTTCTTCCATGGCCTGCATACTCACCAGACATGTCACCCATTGAGCATGTTTGGGATGCTCTGGAACGACGTGTACAACAGTGAGTTCCAGTTCCCGCCGATATCCAGCAACTTCACACAGCCATTCACGAGGAGTGGGACAACATTCCACAGGCCACAATCAACAGCCTGATCAACTCTATGCAAAGGAGATGTGTTGCGCTGCATGAGGCAAATGGTGGTCACACCAGGTACAAACTGGTTTTCTGATCCACGCCCCTACTTTTTTTTGAAAAAGGTATCTGTGACCAACAGAGGCATATCTGTATTCCCAGTCATGTGAAATCCATAGATTCGGGCCTAATGAATTTATTTAGGGCGGCAGGTAGCGTAGTGGGTAAGAGCGTTGTGCCAGTAACCGAAAGGTCGCTGGTTCTAATCCCCGAGCCTCCTAGGTGAAAAATCTGTCGATGTGCCCTTAAGCAAGGCACTTAACCCTAATTGCTCCTGTAAGTCGCTCTGGATAAGAGCGTCTGCTAAATGACTAAAAAAAAAAAAAAAAAAAAAAAAATTTAAATTGACTGATTTCCTTATATGAACTGTAACTCAGTAAAATCTTTGAAATTGTTGAGTGTTGCGTTTATAATTTTGTTCAGTTTATTACTAAGGCTTTCAGACTTCTCTTCATTTCCACCAAAGAATGTATGGAGTGCCTCACCAACCACAATGTATCAATCATAAAGAGTTCATATGTTTTTGCCCACATAATTCAGGGGTTTATAATATACCTCTCGAAATGAGCGCTTCGAATAACATGGAATGAACTGACGGTTGTTTTCTTTCATTTAAGTTCTGTGAATGTAAGTGAATAATTGTGTGTGTGTGTGTGTTGGAGAAGTTACTCTGAAAATATAGTTTACCAAGCTACAAATTACGTCACATTGGAAGAATTTAAGCTACACTAAAGCCAACCTTAAGAGAAATATAGTTTACTTAACTAAAGTTACTTTGAAAAAGTAGTTCACTACATCCAAATTAATTTGTGAAAAAAATCAAATGTAAATATGAAATGTCAGACTACAAATTGCAAGATTAGATCACTTTGGGGACATATCTTAACAGAATGCGTAATATAGCCTATTAATAACCAAAACGATGTTTCAAGTGAGGATTATGCAGGTCTGATGCCGATAAAGAAAGGAAATTATAGCCTACTTCACTCATATTTTGTTTTTGCAAAAAAATAAGTGTTGTTCCAGTAATTAGCTACATGACTACATGGCAAAAAAAGTAATTAACTGCTGAAAACACTACCTAGATTTGAATTTAGTTCAACTACCAACACGCTACTAAAATATTTGGTTGAATTACTAGTTGAACTACATGTAGTTCACTACTCCCCAATGTGTGTGGGAGTTCTGACTGACACTATTATTAAGAAAATACTGAAGGAAAGGCAGTCTCTTCCGAACCACCAGACTTTAAAGTGCAGAAGGCCTTGACTGTCAGTGTGTGAGAATGTGAATACAAATGTATTTTGATAAGGTTGAAGTACTTGGTTTTGAGTCCATAGAGCCAAGCCAAGCTGTCTTCCATAGTGAGGGGCTGTTTGTGTGGATGTACTACAGTATGAGAAGTGATCCTCCCCTGGGATGTCAAACAGCCTGTGGTGACCTTGGTAGTGGAAAGGAGAGGGGGGTTCGATACACTCTCTGCCTCTTTCTGACCAGCCTGAGACATCTGATAATGTAATTACACTCACATCACAGCCAAGCCAACCATTTACTGACTGTGTGAAATGGACAGAGAGATAAACTTTGCTTTCAGATACTCGATTTTGTTGTATATGTAAAATCAATATCTACTTACATCATGATTCACAATCCTAATGTATTTATGGTCCTGGTGTGAGTGATGTTTTGTAAAATCAATGTTTTGTTGTAAAATCGACTGAATCTTGGTCTGTGGCAACAGATTATTTATTTGTGTGCAAATTAGTCTAAATGAGAAAAGTACCAGGTTATGTGTGGCAGTATTCACATCATTACAAGCAATGACATTTGCTCTCCCCTTTTTATAGTTTAAGTGATCCTATACTGTCCTGATCCTGAACTGTGTAAACACAGTCCTAAACTATAATCTGTGGTCATAGTGATCCGACCATGTCAACAAGCTCCACTTTACCTTGGTATCAACTGCCATTACTGAGGCCTGTTTGAAATGCCACAACAACCTAAGAGGGGACTCACGCCCTCCACTCAATAAAAGCAGGGCAGAGTTTTATGACTTAGGTCATTGATCACAGCAGAGATTTGTACTTTGAGAGCTACAAAGTGGCAATTAAGCTATTGGCTCTATTACTGTAGAAGAGCACTGATTCTGTGAGTGGCTGATGACTGTTTTATCTGTGACTGTGCTACTGTTTTTGGTCACACTTACAGTATACCAGTAGTATTAGTAATACTGTGTAGTAGTAGGAGGAATAGTAAGAGGAGTATCAGTAGGTAATTACAGTTATTCCATTGTAGTTATGAAATAATGACTATGCCATTTTAAATTGTTAGCAAATGTATGTTGGTTTTCTACCCAGTGGTAATAATAGCTTGACACACTTGTTTGTTATGTCTTATCACGTTCCTGTTAATGAGATTTACTAGAGTGAAAGAGAATAATAATTCCCATCATTTGACAGACACCTAATAGTATTGCTTGCCTGACTCATGTGAGAAGAGACTTGTATTAGAGATCTCAGTATTATCTGAGCAGTTTCACAGACTCTGATTGCCTGTCTCTGTTTCCTTCAGTTGTGTTTAATAATCGGTCTCTGTTTCCTTCCTGCCTCCCTTTGTATCTACTGTACCCTGTGTGTCTCTCTGTCTCTGTGTGTCTCTCTGTCTCTGTGTGTCTCTCTGTCTCTGTGTGTCTCTGTGTGTCTCTGTGTGTCTCTGTGTGTCTCTCTGTCGGTATCTCTGTGGGTGTCTCTGTGTGTGTCTCTGTCTCTGGGTGTCTCTCTGTCTGTCTCTCTGTCTCTGTGGGTGTCTCTCTGTCTCTGTGGGTGTCTCTCTGTCTCTGTGGGTGTCTCTCTGTCGCTGTGGGTCTCTCTCTGTCTCTGTGGGTGTCTCTCTGTCTCTGTGGGTGTCTCTCTGTCTTTGGGTGTCTCTCTGTCTCTGTGTGTCTCTGTGTGTCTCTGTGTGTCTCTCTGTGGGTGTCTCTGTGTGTCTCTCTGTCTGTGTGTCTCTCTGTCGGTATCTCTGTGGGTGTCTCTGTGTGTGTCTCTGTGGGTGTCTCTCTGTCTCTGTGGGTGTCTCTCTGTCTCTGTGGGTGTCTCTCTGTCTCTGTGGGTGTCTCTCTGTCTCTGTGGGTGTCTCTCTGTCTCTGTGGGTCTCTCTCTGTCTCTGTGGGTGTCTCTCTGTCTCTGTGGGTGTCTCTCTGTCTCTGTGGGTTTCTCTCTGTCTTTGGGTGTCTCTCTGTCTCTGTGTCTAACTTCCATGTCTCTCTCTCGCTGTGTCCCTGCAGGTTTTGAGCTGCTGTACCAGCCAGAGGTAGTGAGGCTGTACCTGTCTCTGCTCACTGAGAGCCAGAACTACAACACTCTGGAGGCTGCGGCAGGGGCCCTGCAGAACCTCAGTGCCGGACAGTGGACCGTGAGTCTCACACATACAACACACACAAACACACATTGTGATTAAGGGGAATAAGGTCTCTGAACTTCAATAGGCCTCAATAGGCTAGACCAGTTACCCCAAATGCAGCTCTGTGCTGTCATTACTAAACACCCTCCATTTGGTTACTGTAGTGAGTAATCAGTGTGATCTTTTGTCCAGCTCAGGGGCATAATTTTACCATCACTAGTGTAAAGTACAGAGGCTATTCATGTTCTTCCCTTCAGGAATGGAATGTTCTTAGTCAATACAGTGGCTATGTTAGGCCTAGAGAGCTCTAGCATGCTAGCGCCATAGTGATTCAGTTTTTAACACCTATGTGTCACGCTGTAAACATATCCGTTGCCACGGCATTCATCATCACTCGGCTCCAGTTGGCAAAACACAACGCAACAGACAGGATGTTAGATTGATTTGGAAACATCCAACTTTTATCTCATTTTTTAAAAACGCTTACACAAAACATGTAACGTGTTTTTAACATGTATAACATGTGTAGTGTAGTGTACAGTACATGTATACCCTGTATAAACTGTCACCATTTTCCTTTTTGCTCTGTTTTCTATCACTGTTCTGCACTGGTGATTTAATTTGTATTTTTTATGATTGTGGAATGTATAGAGACAGAATCTGTCCCTCCTCCATGGTTTTCCATTCCATTTGAGCTGAGGAGGCTGATCGCCTGTCCACGCTCTAGGGCTTGGGGCTGCTGCCAACACATCAAACCTCTGCATCGAGGAGATGGACATTACGTGTCCCCGCTCCCTATGAGGATATCTCAAGCTTTTCTTTTGTTTAAATCCTCTTTTCATCCCATTCTTCCTGCTGCTCTATAGCTGTTTGACTAGGTGCAGTCTGTTTTAGGCTTACTACTGCCACCCAGTGGTGTGGTTCTGGTGTTGCACCAGTTTAATTACATCTCAGAGGGTAACGGTGTTCAGCAAAGGAGCTCTTTCAGGTCAAACGTAATGTTTTGTGTTACAGGAATAGAGGAAAATGTATGTTTAATCAGAGACAACAAAAGAACTGTCAAATCCAGAGAGCCACTGTTGGCTTTGCTACTGGACAATAATAGTGTCTGTGTGTGTGGAGGGGCGGGCGTGCAAGTGGGTACACGTGTATTGCTATGTGTAGGTGTGTGTGTACATGCGTATGTATGTATTGGCTGATATTATTCTCTCTACACAGACCGGTTATCCATAGCCTCCATGTTCCCTCCTCTCTGTCCCCAGTGGTCCAACTACATCCGAGCCACTGTGAGGAAGGAGAAGGGTCTTCCCATCCTGGTGGAGCTGCTGCGTTCTGATGCTGACAAGGTGGTCCGAGCCGTGGCCATCGCCCTGCGTAACCTCTCCATCGACCGCCGCAACAAAGACCTGATCGGTACAATCACTGACCACATAACCTGACCACACATGGTCAACACAAGGCCTCTCTGTACAGCAAACAGAACAACATTGGGATAAAACATTTTGGAATACGTTGAGATTAGATAGCTGTTAATGAGGATAAGAATATGATTGTTGGACCTGTGTATGTCTTTTGCTGAATATGAATGTGTAATCTACTTATTGTAGATTAGAATGATTGTAGATTAGTCAAAGATTGAATTGCTTGATATCGAACATTTTGTACAATGCTATTATGAATCAATGCACTATGTAACCCTACAAGATAAATGTTGATACACCTGTTACCTCTCTACTGCCATCTGACGGTGCCCTCTGCACCCTGCCATTTGACCCCTGCCCCCTGCCCTGTAGGGAGCTATGCCATGAGGGACCTGGTGAGTAACCTGCCCAGTGGTCAGCAGCGGCCAGCCAAGAACCTGGAGGAAGACACAGTGGTGGCCATCCTCAACACCATCCACGAGATTGTGACGGACAGCTCCGAGAACGCACGCTCTCTCATCCAGGCCCAGGCCATCGAGAAACTGGTGGCCATCAACAAGACGAGGTAGGATGATGGCACAGTACAGCTCATCTCAGTACAGCCCAATACAATACATTTCTTGATAAAAAAAAAAAAGGAAAGGTGTATTTGTATTGTATTTGCTAGACATTCTACTGCACTGTTGGAGCTAGTAACATAAGCATTTCACTGCACTTGCTAATCAAATCAAAGTTGATTGGTTGCGTACACAGATTTGCAGGTGTACACAACCAATAAACTTTGACTAGATTTGATTTACAACACAGTACAGCACAGTACAACAGAGCATAATGCAGTCAAACAATTGAATGGGTTCCACATTAGTACAGTATGTACATTAATGACTACATGTGACACTGGCCTCCCTCCCCATGAGAGAAAGTTCCTTACTTTTAAATTATTTGGACTTTAAATGCAATGAATAATATAGTGACATTAATAATATCCATGATATACAGTATATTCTGCAATCACTCAAGGACCAGGATTGTCTGCTGCTGGCCATATACAATGTAATGACCCCGTGCCTTTTCATGTCCTCTCTAGCATGGGCATTAATGGGCTTTTAATAATATTAAGTGCTATAAGCTGGATTCCTTGTCATATCATTTCGATCTGTAGAACATTACTTAGATTGAATAGATAAGCCCGTATCGTGTAGTGTCTGGTTTCCAGGAAACCTACTATAGTGCACTTCACCTGAATACTAAGTACTATGAATAGGAATTCAAGAGATGTTTGAATGATTTCCCAGTTTTCACTTTATTTAATATCACTGTCCTCATTTTCCATTGAGTGATCTGATCTACTTGATCAAGTCAGCGAGAGAGGACAGCCAGAGATGAGCTGTTTTGATAGATGTCTCCTTCTACAACCTATTGATGATTTAATTAAGATGAGTTTCCAATGGGAATTTTATACCTGTACTTTATTGAATACCTTTAGGTTCTAAGTTCTGGGACAAATCCAATCAGACACCAAAGGAAGCTCAAACTAGATGTATTTACCACACTGGGTGTTGCAGCTGCATAGCACACCATACAAGTCACACACGCACATATATTTATACCTTCCGACTAGGCCCTCCTATATCTAGGATGAACAATCAGTCTCTGTTGCTGGGCAGGAACTGAGTCTGTTCCTCATGTTGGTGTTATCGTGGCCCAGCCTGAGTCCAGAACCTTCGTGTCCCTCCATGCCTTTCACAGGACTTCTTATCAGTCAGGAGAGGCCTTGAGTTATTGGGAGTACACATTCCTATAGTCTACTGCAGTCCACTAAATAATACTCATTTTCATACACACAAATCTTAAACCTAACACTACATTCAATCTTTAAGAATATATAAAAGCGATATATTAATACTAAGAGTATATAGTGATATAAAACAGTAAAGATATAGGACAGTGTTATAGAACAGTAATTATGATCTACCAGCTCTAACGCCAGACACATGGCTCCTATTCAACCCTTATGGAAGCATTCTTGCACTCAGACACAGGCCCCCTTTGTATTTTCCCTCTGCCCAAATACAATGGACATAGATTATTCCATCTAACCCATAATGTGATAATTACTACTGCTAGGCTAATTATACAATTATAAATGGACTAAAACGGGCTCACGTCAAATAGTCTCCAACAATACCAAATAAATGTGTTTTCCCTAAACCCATGAGATTGTCTGTGAAGTGATGGAGAACCTCCCCCCCATGTAATTAACAGAAGAGCTAAGGAGTAGTTAGTTAATTGAATGAAAGAAAATGTGTGCGGCCATTGGGGTCTGAATTAAAAGCAAGCTCTTGGGGCCATCAGTCGAAATAAGATGGATGATGGCTTTGAATGTGAGATTGATTGCATTCGGCTCCAGCCTCCACTAGCTGCTGGCAGTGGTTGGGCCCAACGTTCTGGGTTGTATTCACTAGACTACCGGAACTTGTCCAATAAGAAACATTTTTGTTGCAAAACGTTTTCCATTGCAAAATGTTTTGCTACGGTCTGCACTAATGAATACGAACCTGGTTCTCTCCCTGTCTCGCTCAGCCAATCACCACGTGAGAACAAGGCTGCCTCCCACGTGCTGCAGACGGTGTGGAGCTACAAGGACCTGAGAAACGCCCTGACCAAGGAAGGATGGAACAAGAGCCACTTCCAGGTACACGGCTGTGTAGAAGAACACACGCATGCACACAGATACGTTCACATACACACACATGCACAATAAGTACGGCGGCAGGTAGCTTAGTGGTTAAGAGCGTTGTGCCAGTACCTGAAAGGTTGCTGGTTCTAATCCCCAAGCCGACTAGGTGAAAAATCTGCCGATGTGCCCTTGAGCAAGGCACTTAACCCTAATTGCTCATGTGCGTCGCTCTGGATAAGAGCGTCTGCTAAATGACAAAAAAAATGAAAAATGTCCCTACTCTCTCCCCCTCTCAGCCTACAGCGACCGGCGCACCTAAAGCAGCCAAGAATGGCAAGCCAGGCTACGACGACACTACCCTACCCCTGATGGAGAAGAACCAAGGTCAGTCTGTGATGGCAGGCGAGACTGGGGATCCTCCGGGCCTGGCCTACTGTGGTGAACTAAGTGAGGAAACCATAGATAATATAATTGCTCTGTATCTATGGAGGAAACTGCTGTTGTGACGGTGTGTGACTGTATCAGAAGCCTTGATTAGAATGAGTGCTGAGGAGGATGGCTCTATCTGGACTTTGTTTTGTGTGTTCTCACTCATAGCCATATACGCACTGCCCCCATTGTTCTGCTGCAGTGTTTGGTGATCTTCATGTGCTATAGTCAGTACAATTGGGATGGTGTGGTCTGGAGAATGATGCATCATGGGTAGATTTATCTAATCAAATAGTGTGTTCTGAATGCAAATCCAAGCATGTAGAGTAGGATATGAAGTTACATAGAGCAGGGGTCATATATATAAACTCAGCAAAAAAAGAAACGTCCCTTTTTCAGGACCCTGTCTTTCAAAGATAATTCGTAAAAATGCAAATAACTTCACAGATCTTCATTGTAAAGGGTTTAAACACTGTTTCCCATGCTTGTTCAATGAACCATAAACAATTAATGAACATGCACCTGTGGAACGGTCAGTAAGACACTAACAGCTTACAGAGAGTAGGCAATTAAGGTCACAGTTATGAAAACTTAGGACAGTAAGCCTTTCTACTGACTCTGAAAAACACCAAAAGAAAGATGCCCAGGGTCCCTGCTCATCTGCGTGAACGTGCCTTAGGCATGCTGCAAGGAGGCATGAGGACTGCAGATGTGGCCAGGGCAATAAATTGCAATGTCCGTACTGTGAGACGCCTAAGACAGCGCTACAGGGAGACAGGACGGACAGCTGATCGTCCTCGCAGTGGCAGACCACGTGTAACAACACCTGCATAGGATCGGTACATCCGAACATCACACCTGCGGGACAGGTACAGGATGGCAACAACAACTGCCCGAGTTACACCAGGAACGCACAAATCCTCCATCATTGCTCAGACTGTCCACAATAGGCTGAGAGAGGCTGGACTGAGGGCTTGTAGGCCTGTTGTAAGGCAGGTCCTCACCAGACATCACCGGCAACAATGTCGCCTATGGGCACAAACCCACCGTCGCTGGACCAGACAGGACTGGCAAAAAGTGCTCTTCACTGACGAGTCGCGGTTTTGTCTCATCAGGGGTGATGGTCGGATTTGCGTTTATTGTTGAAGGAATGAGCATTACACCAAGGCCTATACTCTGGAGCGGGATCGAGGTGGAGGGTCCGTCATGGTCTGGGGTGGTGTGTCACAACATCATCGGACTGAGCTTGTTGTCATTGCAGGCAATCTCAACGCTGTGCGTTACAGGGAAGACATCCTCCTCCCTCATGTGGTACCCTTCCTCGAGGCTCATCCTGACATGACCCTCCAGCATGACAATGCCACCAGCCATACTGCTCGTTCTGTGCGTGATTTCCTGCAAGACAGGAATGTCAGTGTTCTGCCATGGCCAGCGAAGAGCCCGGATCTCAATCCCATTGAGCACGTCTGGGACCTGTTGGATCGGAGGGTGAGGTCTAGGGCCATTCCCCCCCAGAAATGTCTGGGAACTTGCAGGTGCCTTGGTGGAAGAGTGGGGTAACATCTCACAGCAAGAACTGGCAAATCTGGTGCAGTCCATGAGGAGGAGATGCACTGCAGTACTTAATGCAGCTGGTGGGCACACCAGATACTGACTGTTACTTTTGATTTTGACCCCCCCTTTGTTCAGGGACACATTATTCAATTTATGTTAGTCACATGTCTGTGGAACTTGTTCAGTTTATGTCTCAGTTGTTGAATTTGTTATGTTCATACAAATTTGCTGAAAATAAACGCACTTGACAGTGAGAGGACGTTTCTTTTTTTTGCTGAGTTTATATTATGAATTTTTTTGGGGGGGGTTAAAAACACTCCAGGCCACTCTTGAAAGTCTAAAACTAGATCAAAATATGTATAAATTATAATGGACCTAATATGTTTTCAAATAACTGTCATTTATTCTGGCCCTCAAATTGCTTTTGATGAACAAAAAATCGGAATACCTATATGGCCCTCGAGCCAAAATTATTGCCCAACCCTGACATAGAGGGAGGTACTGAAGCAGCCTAAAACACTGAACATCGCATTGACAGAGGATTCGAGGGCATGACAGCATTTTTCTTCTCTTCTTGTTTCTGGCCTTGTGACTGCAACCATGCATACACACGAGGTGCGGTTGTCATTCACACCCATTCTCAGCCTGCCTGCATTACTGGTTAAGTGTATCAGCAGACAGTGACTGAGGACCATTGGCCTGAAAGCAACATTGGCTCGTGAATCAAACAAATTGTGTGTGTGGTGCTCATGATAAAAACGGCATATAAATGCTTTTCAGGCAACAAGAAAAATGGAAGTGGTGATATGATACCTATGGACGAGCTTGGTCCAGGTAAGACCGAGTTTGCATGACCTCAATCGCCGACGAGGAACACTACTAGTCTCAGATGGAATGTTCTTATCTCTAGGGACTACTGACAGTTCTAGAACCCCAAGAACACCAATGCCAAAATTGAAATTCTAAAAAAGTTTGTAGGGCAATTTTTTGCAATATTTGAAATGAACAAAGATATTAATTATTATGATGCTATAACAGTGGACAATGCAGTGCAGTAGTGTTTTACTTATGATGCTGTTTGCAAGACCCCTCTCTTAACAAGATGTTGGTATAAGAATGGGCGTTAATTCAGTAGAACAGATGGTAACAGGAAGTGTGGGCAATTCTCTAATGACTGTGTTCAAACCCTGAAAAACGTAAATGTTCTCCTCAGTGCTACTCTTTTCAATGAATATGTAAACAATTGTCTTGTTTCCACTCTAACTAATGAGTTCTTCCTCTACATCAGATGTGCACCACTCCAGTCCTGGAAGGCTGCATGCAGCTAGGCTACTGTAGTTTCCATCCATGCATTTAACAGTGATATCCTTTTGTGATCCTCTCTCTATCTATCTCTCTCTCTCGCATATTAGATGGCTACACCACCATCGACCAGAGAGACAAGGACTGCAAGTACAAGAGTAGTGGAGACGGATCAGTGGATCTGACAGAACGGGAGCCATTAAAGGTAAGTCTGGTCTAGACCCACCCGTTACAGCTCCCCTACAGCTGCACTAACTAGTTGATCAGGCTGTTAAAGCACACAAGTCATGATGCGCCGTTTCTGTTAAGATAGCCTAAACCCGTCTCTCTTAGTGCCCTTGCCCATTTGTCTATGCTAGGCCCTTTCTAAGGAAGGAGTTAAGCAGCAGTTGATGTTGTTGTCTGTCGAGCCGGGTGCCACTCATCTAGCAGTCCGAGTTACTGGCTGCAGATCTGAAAGCAAAGCAGCAGATAATTGAGTGTAAGCAATTCATGTGGGACTGGTTGTGTGTGTGTGTGTGAGAGAGAGAGAGAGAGAGAGAGAGAGAGACTTGTTCTCATACACACAAGCCTGCATAGCAAGTGCTTCAGTGCTAGTCCAGTCATGTGTTTCCTATCACAGGATTATCTGATAGTGTATAGGTGGTTCGATGGGTCAAACATGCGAAGAGAACTAGACTTAATGAATAGAGTTACCATGAGTTCAGACTAGTATCATGAGGTAGAATGGGAAAAGAGATGTTTACACATTTTGCTGTCCTCCTCTATAGTCCCCCCAGTTGCTTCTTGAGATTATTATAATTATAGGACTTAAACAGGGTTGGGCAATAACTGATTACATGTAATCAGTTACATGTAATGTGGTTACAAAAAACCTCTTAACTGTAATCTGTTACATTACCAGCCAACATATTGTAATCAGATTAGATACTTTAGAAAAACTAGATGATTACTTATTGGATTACTTGTACATTTTGAATGGATGTTTGCAGAATTTTTTTGGTTGAGATACCTTTCTGTTTTCTCAATGACATTTGAATTCAGCATTGAAAAAAGGCTCAAATGTAAGTTTGATCCACCTGAGCGAGTCTGACAAGTCAGAGACCACTATGATGACCCACCAAATGCATTTGATGGATCCTTTTGTCTTCTTCTAATGCATTTTAAAGGGAAAGTAATCTAAAAGTAACTGAATGTAATCAGATTACGTTACTAAATTTGGGTAATCCAAAAATTACGTTACTGATTACAATTTTGGACAGGTAACTAGTAACTGTAATGGATTACATTTAGAAAGTAACCTACCCAACTCTGAACTTAAACTAACACAGTTATCCGACCGCAGCTGTATTCTGAAGATGACACAAATAAGTGCTTACAGTGTGTAAATGGAAGCTATGCAGCCTGGAGACACAAATGCTTGTCAACATACAGTATGCTTCTAAGTCCTGCAAAACCTCCTGAAGCAAATTAGCTGTCAGGCAGGACTGGAGATGGCAGATATGTCCTCTGATGCCTACAGTCCCCACCCCCCCTTGTGTTTTGAATTTACTTAAGCACAGAAACCAAAACTGTTCAACCCTGCTTTCTACACCTCCAGAAGGCTGCTACCCAAAATGCACCTGCTGTTTGAACTACTTTGCCCCCTCTGTGTTTGTTTGCATGCGTAATTTGGTTTCTTGTTTATAATCGCTTTTTTTCGGACTCTAAAAGCTTCCTTTATGCTAAGGAACTAACCCTGGCTTTCCACTCCTCTGTATAGACTATATTTATTGACCTCTTTGTTTTGCTGTTAACCCCTTCTCCCGTTGCTGCAGAATGACACAAATATGAAACACTATGTCAGGAGTAACAGGCCTGCAGTCAATCTGGTGGATGCTTGTGACGTTAAACCTCAGCCTGTTGACTCCTGGGTCTAAATGCATGCATGGTAGGTCTTACAAACATTTGTTTTCCACTTTTTGGATTGTTAGTCTCCTTTTTTTGTTTGCTCTACAACCTCACCCTGTTTTAACCCTCACAACCTCACTCTGTTTTAACCCTCACAACCTCACTCTGTTTTAACCCTCACAACCTCACTCTGTTTTAACCCTCACACACGTCACTTCTGGTTTGTTTGTGTGTTTGTTTATGCTTGGACTGTGGTTGACCCAGAGTAGTTGGCTTATGACACCAAACCTAATTTTCACAGTTCTGAAGCACCTGTTTGATGCAAATCCATCTGTTGAAATATGCACATTTCCCTTGACTATTTCACATGAAATGATGTTTGTTCTAAATGATGAAAGGGAATAACTCTATAGTCTTTATATGGATCACACACACACAGCTCTAATGAATAGCTGTAGGAAAAACATGGTGTATCCTCTATCCTCTCCCTATCTACATTCATGAACACACACCAGCTCCTCTGGCTCGGCTATGTGTAGACCGTCTGTGCTAGGCTAGGCATGGCTAGCTACTGAGAGGTCCTTTGGCTCTGTGACAGTATGTGCTACGCTAGCTGCTCTGGGTTAGCTTCATTACAGCTCATTATACAGGATCCTCACATCACTCACTCATATCTGTCCTCAAGTCCCATCACTAATCACTGAGTGTGTCTGCTCTGGGTGAGAAGCTGTGGTAGGTGGCTGATCATCAACAGCTCTATGGAGGCAAAGGGCTGTCTGTCTTCATTGCTGTTAGTCTCAATATTCTCTCATTGCTCTCATCCTCCTAGGTGAAATGTAAGGGATCAACAATACAGCTTTGATTGACTCCTCATGTCTGAAAAGCAAATTGAAATATGACCCCTATGATTATCAGCACAGAATTGAAAACAATTGTTTATTTAATTCTGTTTAATAAAATATTTTGTCAAGTCAATGCTAATGAACAAAAAAAAACATATATAATCTAACAATGACATGCTTAAAATGGACATTGAGTCCATCATGTAAGACAGCTTAATCATACGAAAGGCCTTCTTCATTTTTGTATTTGTATTTACTGGGATCCCCATTAGTTGCTGCCAAGGCAGCAGCTACTCTTGCTGGAGTCCAAATACATTAAGGCATTTACATCACCCATAAAACAAAATATAAAACAGTACATCATATAACATTATTACACCACTACATATCTACAATACAAAATGTATAATACCACCATAAAACAATATGACAATGTAGAGTGCGTGTGCTAACGTTTGTGTGCGTATGTGTGTCTGGCCCTGTGTGTCTCTTCACAGTCCCCGCTGTTCCATAAGGTGCATTTTTATCTGTTTTTTAAATCTGATTCTACTGCTTGCATCACTTACCTGATGTGAAATAGAGTTCCATGTAGTCATGGCTCTATGTAATAATGTATGCCTCCCATAGTCTGTTCTGGACTTGGAGATTGTGAAGAGACCTCTGGTGGCATGTTTTGTGGGGTATGCATGGGTGTCAGAGCTGTGTGCTAGTAGTTTAAACAGACAGCTCGGTGCATTCAGCTTGTCAACACTTCATTTGTGTATTAACCAAGCTGGCTTTTTACAGCTGCCATTCAAACATGTCATCCCTGTCATCAAAACATATCTGTCTTTTGTCTCCATTTTACATTGGATTTGACATCTCTCAAGCATGTAGGAATATTGCTTTATGTATTTTAGTATTGTGATTTTGAAGGAATTACTGTAATACCACTTAGTCACTGTGCCCTCTGACTTACTGTAAAAGCTTAATTATTCAACTGCTTAAAACACCTGGCCTGTGTCCCATGGTACCCTATTCCTTTTATAGTGCCCTATTATTGACCAAGGCCCATTTGGCTCTGATCAAAAGTAGTGCACTAAGTAGGGTGCCTTTTGGGATGCGTAGGAGTTCAGATCTGACATAATCACCTGTCCCCCCCCCTCCCCTCCCCTCCTCTCTGTTTTTCTGTGTTCTAGGCTTAAATAACGACAGCGCAACATCAACTAGATGAGGATCTCCCATGTCATCACTGCCATAACACATGGAGCTTACTTTGATGTTGACTCATCAGCAGATAGACTTTGTAAAAGAAAGAGGAAAAAAACAAAACAAAAATGATCATGCAACAGCCAATGTTTCATGCTTTTGAATCAGCAAATGAAATTATGTATAGATAAGAAAATCAAAAACGACTACTTCTACTACTTCTCATATCTACATTCCCACTGGATGGACAGACGTAGTGTACACTAACATGAGGACTCTGACTGGAGCAGCTCTGGTGTCAGGATGGAAGAAAGGAGGCAGTTATCCTCCTAGAGATGCAAGGATTCTAGAGCTCTCTCTCTTTGGTTACTGTAAGGATGGCTGCTGGTGGTGTGAGGCAGGAAAGAAGGTGATGTTTGTTGGGAGGAAAGGCAGTGTGTTGGAAAGGTGGAGGGAAAGGGAAAGAGAGAAAATGAACTTTATTTAATTTTCATGTCAAAATGAAGTTTGCCTCTAATTGTTTTTCCATGTAACAGTTTAGTTTTTTGTTTCCATTTTATTTTTGTTGGTTTGTCTTTCCTCGAGGCACTGTAAATTGTTTTTATTTGCAATATTTTTTTCTTTTGCTGGTCTTTCTTTTACATTTTAGTTTGGGTTTTCCGGATTGAAGAAGTATGGACTGGTGTGGTAGATGGCAGATGAATGTTGGTGTGGTTTGAAGTTGGGCTCGAGGGGCACTTAAAGGAGCTGTAGCAGACTCCACACAGACGCTTTTACATTTACATTTTAGTCATTTAGCAGACGCTCTTATCCAGAGCGACTTACAGTTAGTGAGTGCATACATTTTCATACTGGCCCCCCATGGGAAACGAACCCACAACCCTGGCGTTGCAAGCGCCATGCTCTACCAACTGAGCTACAGGGGACTACGCGATGGCTCTCATAAACACATTTGGCATACAATGGTTCACTGCGTTTCTTTAAGTGCACTGGGATCATTGCTGTGCAACACATAGGGGACTGACTGGGTGCTGATTCAGTTCATAAACCGACAAGAATTTCACACACCTGCAAGTGTTGGTTGGAGTTAGGGAAGTGAAATTACATGTACATTTGGTTGGGTTACTTATAGCTGTTGAGTAAAACAAAATGAACATATATTTTCTGAATCGATACAGACGTGGTTGTTTGCTGAAGATATATGAATTACTCGGTTGGTTGCTGTTTGCCATTGATATGTAATAAAGTTGAAGAGGATATAAGACATTTAGTTTATAAATGGATTGTGTTTATGAAGGAAGGGAGAGGATTATGTGAAGTATACTGAACAAAAATATAAATGAAACATTCAACAATTTCAAAGAGTTACAGTTCAGATAAGGAAATCAGTCATTTGAAATAAATTCATTAGGCCCTAATCTATGGACTTCACATGACTGGGCAGGGGAGCAGCCATGGGTGGGCCTGGGAGGGCATAGGCCCACCCACTTGGGAGCCAGGTCCACCAACTGTAGAGCCAGGCCCAGCCAATCAGAATGAGTTTTTCCCCACAAAAGCGCTTTATTACAGACAGAAATACTCCTCATCAACCCCCCCCCCCCCCCCCCCCCACGTGGTCTGCGGTTGTGAGGCCGGTTGGACGTACTGCCAAATTCTCATTAAATTATCTGGAAATGGCTCTGGTGGACATTCCTGCAGTCAGCATGACAATTATCTTGACAAAGGATAAAATGCTCATTAACAGGGATGTAAACAAATTTGTGCAAAAAAAATTTAGATAAATAATATTTTTGTGCCTATGGAACATTTCTGTGATCTTTTATTTCATCTCATGAAACATGGGACCAGCACTTTACATGTTGTGTTTATATTTTTGCTCAGTGTACATGCTCCTGTTGTCAAAGGGTAGAACCTAAAAGCGTTTTATATTTTTGTTGGTTTTATAAATGTATATTAGGGTCAAAGAAAAGCAAAAAAAATAATAAGATACTACAGAAAAAAACAATACAAACTTAATTGTGTACTCATAACAGGTCGTTTGGGAAGCACATTCATTGGATAAAGGATCAACATGTTTGTAAACAGAAATAACTACATCATTTAGGTGTGTATCAAATCTGTAGAGTCATGTTAATTACATATTTATATTTTGTACTGTCAAGATTGAAAAAAGAAGACATTTATCTTCAGCTTTCTTTTTAAAGGCGTGATGAACTGGTCTCCAAATATTTCTAGGAGAAAGAGAGAGGGGGTGAAAGAGAGAGGGGGTGAAAGAGAGAGGGGGAGAAAGAGAGAGGGGGAGAAAGAGAGAGGGGAAGTGGATAGTTCAGCAGGGGTCACTCAAGAGAAGAAAGATGGATGGATGGATGGGTGGATGCAGCAGCAGGGATAGACAGCAGTGCTAGAATTCCATTTCATTTCACACTGCAATTATATAGTAATTGATAACCTAAAAACGTGCTTTGATTTTGCTAATGCATCTCTAAAGAACTATTTGAAACAAGCATGAAACAATGTACAGATGTTTATATTATATTCTTTGTGCCCGTTTTTGTGGTGTAATTGAATATTCAAGTAATTCACATCTGGAGAGGACAGAGAGGAGAGCAGTTTCATGTGGTTCAAGGCAGGATTTGCGTCATATTGTACAAAGTCTGTTTTGATTATTATATTTTTTGTTCTCTCCTCTAGAGGCAGTTGAAATGTAGTAGATGATTACGCCATTGTCTTTTAAAGGGACAAAAGAAAAGCTAAACTGCACGTGGGTAAAGATTTAATAGTGTTGTTGTGATTATTTTATCTCCATCTCCAAGCGGACACTCCAGTATGAACCTCTTCTCGCTCTCTCCCAATTCTGGGACTAGTGCGGGGGGACCTCCACTACAGGACAGCTTAACTCATGCGTCAGCTATAGGCGAATGGCATGTGCCTGCGTCTGATTTTCTTTGTGGTGTGATTTATAAAGCTTGCATATTTTACACTGTGTTTACAAAGACTTATGTGATAAAATAAAGATTAAAAAGTACATGTATTATTAAACTTTTGATTTCAGAGAAAAGTAACGTAATAATAGGCCCATGTTAACGTCCTCCATGTCGACATACGTCCTCAGAACTATGTGCTTTTCATTGGATTATTCATCTCTGACTGTCTATTCCTGACTGCATTTTGCAGTACACAACCAAAGGATCTGGTGTTGTATTTATATACATATGAAAGTAGTCCAGGAGCTTGTTTGTGGATGTACGTCTAATTGTACATTTACTAAAGAAGATGCTAACTGTGCTGTGAAAGAAATGCAAGAAGATGGGGCAGAAATTGAATCAAAGGGGCAAGACCTACCTGTGTAGACATCACTGATTCAAACTCTTCAAAATAAAGTAACTATCAGTAGCAAATGTTGTAGCTATCATGTGCCTTAACCTTTTCCATGGTAGATAAAGATAACAATGTGTTTTATATCATGCTTTATCCTCCTTCCTCATCCCTTTCTCTGTTTACCTCTTTCCTCTTCTCTTATTTGTCAGGCTCCCTATCCATCTCTCCCTTCCCTCTAATTTCACACACTCACACATTCACCCACTCTGTCCTCAGTGTAGTCTAGACTGTTGGTGGATATTTGCCTTGTATTACATTGTATTATAAAAAATGGTTTGATTTCATAGAAGAGTAAGTTGTTAATGCTTTCGTAGCTATCAGAGCGATGCCACAGTGACATAATGTATTATGTTAATTTTACTAATACCCAGAGGCAAGTATTATGCTTGTTAAAATACTGATTTGTAGAGTATACATTTGGTGTGTTTTCAATAAACCATGCCTGGAAAGAACATGTTGCCTGTGTATTTTTGTTTGTTTGATATTCCGCAAGAATGCATGGATATACAGCTTCATGGATTTTACCTGAAGCCGCAACCCAAATGTATTGCAGGAAGTTGTCACCGCTGTCCTGGCGTCGTGGGGGAACTTGTTCCACCTTTGGGGTGCCAGAGCAGCGAATAGCTTTGACTGGGCTGAGCGGGAATTGTGCTTCCGTAGAGGTAGTGGGGTTAGCAGGCCAGAGGTGGATGAACGTAGTGCCCTCGTTTGGGTGTAGGGTCTGATCCTGAAGGTATGGAGGTGCCGTTCCCTTCACAGCTCCGTAGGCAAGCACCATGGTCTTGTAGTAGATGCGAGCCTCAACTGGAAGCCAGTGGAGTGTGAGGAGGAGCGTGGTGACATGAGAGAACTTGGGAAGGTTGAACACCAGACGGGCTGCAGCGTTCTGGATAAGTTGTAGGGGTTTAATGGCACAGGCAGGGAGCCCAGCCAACAGCGAGTTGCAGTAATTACGTAGCTACTACAGTAGCAATTTATCTAATTATGTTATATTTCCAACACTACAACGCCATTTCAATTTTGCAACATTTGACAACGTTGCGTTAGTGAATGTGCCTCCCATATGTAAAATCAGTCAGGCAGATTTCCAGACACCTATGACTCCGTGAAGGTCCTTTGTTAATAACAACATGGCAGCCTTATGTGGAGTTAGACACCGGTGGAAACGCACCAACTGCATTCAAATTCTTACGAGAAACTTGACTGGTAGGGAGGTTGTTTCCATATTACTAGTTAGCTAGTGACAAACTGAGAGATTATAGCACAGCGTTTAGTTTTTTTTATTTGCTACATTACAGTGGCTAACATGACCCTGCTAGTTAAGCTAGCTGTCACTGCCAAGCAAGCTGTCAGTGTCAACTATTCCTTGTCGACAATAAGTGTCTTTGGTAGAATAACGTGCTCTTTTCAAATGACCTTCACTCAGCACTTGTCAGCTTGGTTTCTAGATGAGTAACCTCATGTATACATTCTGGCTGTGTGTTTATTATGGTATCACTATCAGCATTGTCCCAATAGAGATTGAATGGGAAGGCATTTGGTTTGTTACAGGTACAATTCACTATGATCTCGTCGTTATTGGTGGTGGCTCTGGAGGTCTGGCTTGTTCCAAAGAAGGTGAGTGTCTCAATCTTAGCATTAGTATTACAATACGTTATGCGATAGGGACTTACCTGTGTGAAGTCAGTGTTCTTTAGCAGGTTTAAAGCTTATTTCCTGCAGTTCTATACATTTTGTCATTTGTCTTATGTGTGTTCATATGATATTTGAGTGAGTCAAACATTGCAACAAAATCAATGGGCTAAAAAAACTAGCTAAAAAACGTTAGCTGACATGGGCTAGTTGATCTTGACATTTCTGACAAGTTACAAATAACGTTAGCTCTCTTTGGTCTGCAATGACTGACATGACTAAAGGAAAACTGCTGATGCAATACTCAATTTTGAAATTGCACCTTGTGCATTCTACTATTACAACTTTCAGGAGTAAGTTGAAAGCTGGCCTGAGCCCCCCAGTAAAATACTGCTTTAGTAAAAGTATTTGGTTTGAAATATACTAAAGTATCAAAAGTAAATGTAAATGTATAAATCATTTCACATTGCTTTTATTAAGCATACCAGATGGCACAATTTTCTTGTTTTTTTATTGTAAGGATAGCCTGGGGCACACTACAACACGCAGACATAATTTAAAAAACGAAGCATTTGTGTTTTGTGAGTCCACCATATCAGAGGCAGTAGGGATGACCAGGGATGTTCTTGATAAGTGTGTGAATTGGACCATTTTCCTGTCATGCTCAGCATTCATAATGTAACGAGTACTTTTGGGTGTCAGGGAAAATGTATGGAGTAAAAAGTACATTATTTTATTTAGGAATGTAGTGAAATAAAAGTAAAATATGTCAAAAATATAAATGGTACAGTACAGATATACAAAAAACGACTTAAGTAGTACTTTAAAGGATTTTTACTTAAGTACTTTAGACCACTGGGAACCACTGTTCTTGAGGATAGTATACAATCATGTACCCCAGATGGTTTGTCCTATATACAGTGGGGAAAAAAAGTATTTAGTCAGCCACCAATTGTGCAAGTTCTCCCACTTAAAAAGATGAGAGAGGCCTGTAATTTTCATCATAGGTACACGTCAACTATGACAGACAAATTGAGAAAAGAAAATCCAGAAAATCACATTGTAGGATTTTTTATGAATTTATTTGCAAATTATGGTGGAAAATAAGTATTTGGTCACCTACAAACAAGCAAGATTTCTGGCTCTCACAGACCTGTAACTTCTTCTTTAAGAGGCTCCTCTGTCCTCCACTCGTTACCTGTATTAATGGCACCTGTTTGAACTTGTTATCAGTATAAAAGACACCTGTCCACAACCTCAAACAGTCACACTCCAAACTCCACTATGGCCAAGACCAAAGAGCTGTCAAAGGACACCAGAAACAAAATTGTAGACCTGCACCAGGCTGGGAAGACTGAATCTGCAATAGGTAAGCAGCTTGGTTTGAAGAAATCAACTGTGGGAGCAATTATTAGGAAATGGAAGACATAAAAGACCACTGATAATCTCCCTCGATCTGGGGCTCCACGCAAGATCTCACCCTGTGGGGTCAAAATGATCACAAGAACGGTGAGCAAAAATCCCAGAACCACACGGGGGGACCTAGTGAATGACCTGCAGAGAGCTGGGACCAAAGTAACAAAGCCTACCATCAGTAACACACTACGCCGCCAGGGACTCAAATCCTGCAGTGCTAGACGTGTCCCCCTGCTTAAGCCAGTACATGTCCAGGCCCGTCTGAAGTTTGCTAGAGTGCATCCAGAAGAGGATTGGGAGAATGTCATATGGTCAGATGAAACCAAAATATAACTTTTTGGTAAAAACTCAACTCGTTGTGTTTGGAGGACAAAGAATGCTGAGTTGCATCCAAAGAACACCATACCTACTGTGAAGCATGGGAGTGAAAACATCATACTTTGGGGCTGTTTTTCTGCAAAGGGACCAGGACGACTGATCCGTGTAAAGGAAAGAATGAATGGGGCCATGTATCGTGAGATTTGAGTGAAAACCTCCTTCCATCAGCAAGGGCATTGAAGATGAAACGTGGCTGGGTCTTTCAGCATGACAATGATCCCAAACACACCGCCCGGGCAATTAAGGAGTGGCTTCGTAAGAAGCATTTCAAGGTCCTGGAGTCTCCAGATCTCAACCCCATAGAAAATCTTTGGAGGGAGTTGAAAGTCCGTGTTGCCCAGCGACAGCCCCAAAACATCACTGCTCTAGAGGAGATCTGCATGGAGGAATGGGCCAAAATACCAGCAACAGTGTGTGAAAACCTTGTGAAGACTTACATAAAACGTTTGACCTGTGTCATTGCCAACAAAGGGTATACAACAAAGTATTGAGAAACATTTGTTATTGACCAAATACTTATTTTCCACCATAATTTGCAAATAAATTCATTAAAAATCCTACAATGTGATTTTCTGGATTTTTTTTCCTCATTTTGTCTGTCATAGTTGACGTGTACCTATGATGAAAATTACAGGCCTCTCTCATCTTTTTAAGTGGGAGAACTTGCACAATTGGTGGTTGACTAAATACTTTTTTTCCCCACTGTATGAAGGTTTGTATATGTGGGATAACGTCTAATCTAATGTCTAATTCACAGGAGGTTGGTGGCACCTTAATTGGGGAGGACAGGCTTGTGGTAATGGTTGGAGTGTAATAAGTGGAATGGGATCAAACACATGGTTTCCATGTGTTTGATGCCATTCCATTCGTGCCGTTCCAGACATTATTATGAGCCATCCTCCCCTCAGCAGCCTCCACTGGTCTAATTGCAGCTTTACTGAACATGACAATTGACCAAAACATAATGTACTTTGTTTTCAGCGGCTCAGCTAGGACAGAAAGTTGCTGTGTTAGATTATGTGGAGCCGTCAGTTAAAGGTAAGAGAAATGTTATACTGACTGTACATTCCATCATAATCATCTTGACTTGAACCGTAATGCATTTCTCCTTCCTTGTCTAGGAGTAAAGAAACATTATGCATGTTGTGACCAATCTGCAAGAATATAGAAGATTTAAAAAAATCTCATGCTACCCTTTCAGGTACTAAGTGGGGCATTGGTGGTACTTGCGTGAACGTGGGCTGCATTCCCAAGAAGCTTATGCACCAGGCTGCTCTGCTGGGCACAGCTCTGAAAGACGCTCAGAAATATGGCTGGCAAATCCCTGGGCCCATCTTCCATGACTGGTAAATCTCATTAGTACGAGAACAATAGAAACCTGTGGATATGCATACACTGCTCAAAAAAATTAAGGGAACACTTAAACAACACATCCTAGATCTGAATGAATGAAATAATCTTATTAAATACTTTTTTCTTTACATAGTTGAATGTGCTGACAACAAAATCACACAAAAATGATCAATGGAAATCAAATGTATCAACCCATGGAGGTCTGGATTTGGAGTCACCCTCAAAATTAAAGTGAAAAACCACACTACAGGCTGATCCAAGTCAAAATGAGGCTCAGTAGTGTGTGTGGCCTCCACGTGGCTGTATGACCTCCCTACAACGCCTGGGCATGCTCCTGATGAGGTGGCGGATGGTCTCCTGAGGGATCTCCTCCCAGACCTGGACTAAAGCATCCGCCAACTCCTGGACGGTCTGTGGTGCAACGTGGCGTTAGTGGATGGAGCGAGACATGATGTCCCAGACGTGCTCAATTGGATTCAGGTCTGGGGAACGGGCGGGCCAGTCCATAGCATCAATGCCTTCCTCTTGCAGGAACTGCTGACACACTCCAGCCACATGAGGTCTAGCATTGTCTTGCATTAGGAGGAACCCAGGGCCAACCGCACCAGCATATGGTCTCACAAGGGGTCTGAGGATCTCATCTCGATACCTAATGGCAGTCAGGCTACCTCTGGCGAGCACATGGAGGGCTGTGCGGCCCCCCAAAGAAATGCCACCCCACACCATGACTGACCCACCGCCAAACCGTGTGATTGACTTGGAGTTACATTGTGTTGTTTAAGTGTTCCCTTTATTTTTTTGAGCAGTGTATTTCTTGAACTATTTTGGAAAGCATCTTAGATGTAGCCTAGTTGGAGGCCTACAGCGTTCTTGAATTCCTATCACTAGATTTAGTAAATAAGTATATATATATATATTTTTTTATACCGATAGTCATTCTGGTTACTAGGTTAAATGTTGGTCAATAAGCATTCGACATCTAGTGGTAATCTAGCAGTAATACATGATGGGGGGGATTGACCTTGGGTGTACATTCAATTTTGTAAAACATTTTAGTAATTTAGCAGACGCTCTTATCCAGAGCAACTTACAGTAGTGAGTGCATACATTTTGGTACTATTTCATATTGGTCCCCTGTGGGAATCAAACCCACAAGCCTGGCGTTGCAAGCGCCATGCTTTACCAACTGAGCCACATGGGAAGAATACATGGTGTCAGCATTACATGGTTACTCACACACAGCTCACCACAGGGCATCTTTGTTCTGAAGTGTGTTCACCACACTCACAATCCACCCAAGTTTATTAGCTAATTTAACGACGAATGCTTGCCACATAATGGACACTTTCAGAGTGAAAATGTGAATTGTTTTCTTTTGTCTTATCACAGATGCCTGTCCTATACCATGTCTAACTGTTTCTCTGGTGTGTTTCTCCAGGAGTACCATGGCAGAGGCTGTGCAGAACCACGTCAGGTCCCTCAACTGGGGTCACCGTGTCCAGCTTCAGGACAAGTGAGTGACACCCCCTTACCTACAGCCACTGTATACCATAGATTCTGTTGTAGACTTGGGCAGTGATTTTAAACATACATACCTGCGTTTTGCAGACCTTTTTTGTTATGACCTGTTGGTACACAGAGGTTACAGCGATTCGGGGATCAATTGTAAATAAATGGTATGCTAAATTGCATGCAGTGCTCTGACTGAATGGCTACAGGGCTAAACAGGTGTTTCCCTGCCTGTATGTGCCCACACTCTCACAACAGATGTTCACATTGTGCAACCAAATCTCATATTGTATTATACCCAGTTTAATAGAAGACAGCTTTTAGCAATCTAGGCTTTACCTATCTCAGCCAAACCCTGTCTTTGCGCAAGATCTCCCATGAGTCTTCCTGTGGCGTTTGCGCTGGCATAATATTTGTGTTCGACAGGAAGGTGAAGTATCTGAACATTAAAGGAAGTCTGGTGGACGAGCACACGGTCAAAGGGTTAACCAGGACTGGAAAAGAGGTAACACTAATTTAAACTGGGAGTTAATGACAACATTTTAAAATGTTCACCATATCTGTTTTTTTTTTAAATTAATTGCTGTTTCACACAATTATAAGGAATATAATTTCAACACTGCCATATATTTTTTTCATACTGAAGTTGTTATCATGTCGCTCCACCTTGTCTGGCAGATTATGCTGACTGCTAAGAACATTGTGATTGCCACTGGGGGGCGGCCAAAGTACCCCACACATGTAAGTATTAACCTCTTTCCTTCTCCATCCTCTCCCTCTATCCCGTTCTCCGTCTGTATGGTGTCCTTGCCCAGTAAACAGCTGCTGATAACACCACAGTGGATCTGGAGCTTTTGATGGCATGGTGGTAAAACATGTCTGTCTCTGGGTGGTGGAGGGAGGTTGTGTCTGGTTCTGCATCCCAAATGTCACCCTACCTATTCACTATTTGGTGTACTACCAAAGTGCACTACATAGGGAACAGAGTACCATTTGGGACACACGCTGGGTCTGAGGCCTCCCTCTATGTGGTGTAGCACAAGCTGCTGCGCACTGTCTGTTGATAACAAACTAACAAGGAACAAAGACAACCTTCCTCATCTGTCCAACGGAGCTGATCTTTTACCAGAGGCTGTACTGAGAATTGTATGATTCAAACGGACACGTGTTGTTGTTGTGTTGAACTGTTCTATTTCCTGTGTTGTAGATCCCTGGAGCGATTGAGCACGGCATCACTAGTGATGATATCTTCTGGCTGAAGGAGTCCCCTGGCAAGACGTGAGTGGTACATCCTGTGACTAGGGCTGTGGCGGTCATGACATTTTGTCAGCCGGTGATTGTCAAGCATATAACTGCCGGTCTCGCGGTAATTGACCAGTAATTAACATAAACACATTTAGCATCTCCTTGCTTCCACGCATAGCCTACAAGCCACTGATACAGACCTTTGGAACATGAGGTGTGCGACTATGATTTGAAAAAGTCACACACAAAAAGGAATGCACTGTTTATTTTCTTACTGCACACAAACTGGGCATTATTCACAAGTGATAATATATAATTCACAAGTGATAGGCTAATATTGTCACCCATCAGACTATTCTTGATTTAATCTTGTCTTTACATATACTAAATAATATATGTGTGAAATTAGTTTTGATTTAGAATGGACCATTGGGGGCAGGGGAAAAAAATACAGGTCATCTATGCACTTACTGTAAATAGCGAATGGAGGACACTTTTCCCGTGGTTCATTTTCATGCCATCCAGGTAGGCAATACTCCTGTTGTAAAGCGAAGCAATGTGCTTAATATTAGGAAAGTTTAGAAATAAATATAGTAGGCCTAGCCTATAGAAAGTTGATGGGATCCTCCTCTTTTTAATAGAGGCCATCAAAACTCTGTTCTCTGACGCAATTGCATAGTCTATGGAAATGTAGTGCAACATGAGCTCATGGGCTCTCATGAAGTGTTTGATTCGATTTTTGATTACATTTGCATTGATGTCAAGATTGATTATACGGACAATAGAGTGCTGAGTACCAGGCAGTTAGCAAGTTTGGTAGGCTACTAATGACCATCAGCAGCATCAGAGCTTGGAGAAGCCTAGTGACCGTGACTAAACAGTCACTTGGAATTTGACTCCGGTCATGACTCGTGACCGCCGGTGTGGCGGTAATTCGGTCACGCTAACAGCCCTACAGTGAGGGAAAAAAGTATTTGATCCCCTGCTGATTTTGTATGTTTGCCCACTGACAAAGACATGGTCATTCTATAATTTTAATGGTAGGTTTATTTGAACAGTGAGAGACAGAATAACAACAAAAAAATCCAGAAAAACGCATGTCAAAAATGTTATAAAATTATTTGCATTTTAATGAGGGAAATAAGTATTTGACCCCTCTGCAAAACATGACTTAGTACTTGGTGGCAAAACCCTTGTTGGCAATCACAGAGGTCAGACGTTTCTTGTAGTTGGCCACCAGGTTTGCACACATCTCAGGAGGGATTTTGTCCCACTCCTCTTTGCAGATCTTCTCCAAGTCATTAAGGTTTCGAGGCTGACGTTTGGCAACTCAAACCTTCAGCTCCCTCCACAGATTTTCTATGGGATTAAGGTCTGGAGACTGGCTAGGCCACTCCAGGACCTTAATGTGCTTCTTCTTGAGCCACTCCTTTGTTGCCTTGGCCGTGTGTTTTGGGTCATTGTCATGCTGGAATACCCATCCACGACCCATTTTCAATGCCCTGGCTGAGGGAAGGAGGTTCTCACCCAAGATTTGACGGTACATGGCCCCGTCCATCGTCCCTTTGATGCGGTGAAGTTGTCCTGTCCCCTTAGCAGAAAAACACCCCCAAAGCATAATGTTTCCACCTCAATGTTTGACGGTGGGGATGGTGTTCTTGGGGTCATAGGCAGCATTCCTCCTCCTCCAAACACGGCGAGTTGAGTTCATGCCAAAGAGCTCGATTTTGGTCCCATCTGACCACAACACTTTCACCCAGTTCTCCTCTGAATCATTCAGATGTTCATTGGCAAACTTCAGACGGGCCTGTATATGTGCTGTCTTGAGCAGGGGGACCTTGCGGGCGCTGCAGGATTTCAGTCCTTCACGGTGTAGTGTGTTACCAATTGTTTTCTTGGTGACTATGGTCCCAGCTGCCTTGAGATCATTGACAAGATCGTCCCTTGTAGTTCTGGGCTGATTCCTCACCGTTCTCATGATCATTGCAACTCCACGAGGTGAGATCTTGCATGGAGCCCCAGGCTGAGGGAGATTGACAGTTCTTTTGTGTTTCTTCCATTTGCGAATAATCGCACCAACTGTTGTCACCTTCTCACCAAGTTGCTTGGCGATGGTCTTGTAGCCCATTCCAGCCTTGTGTAGGTCTACAATCTTGTCCCTGACATCCTTGGAGAGCTCTTTGGTCTTGGCCATGGTGGAGAGTTTGGAATCTGATTGATTGATTGCTTCTGTGGACAGGTGTTTTTTATACAGGTAACAAACTGAGATTAGGAGCACTCCTTTTAAGAGTGTGCTCCTAATCTCAGCTCATTACCTGTATAAAAGACACCTGGGAGGCAGAAATCTTTCTGATTGAGAGGGGGTCAAATACTTATTTCCCTCATTAAAATGCAAATCAATTTATAACATTTTTGACATGCGTTTTTCTGGATTTTGTTGTTGTTATTCTGTCTCTCACTGTTCAAATAAACCTACCATTAAAATGATAGACTGATCATTTCTTTGTCAGTGGGCAAACGTACAAAATCAGCAGGGGATCAAATACTTTTTTCCCCTCACTGTACCAGTAACACACACATACCATGCAATACTGTACATCAGCTGTTAACTGTGCCATGTACACAGACCGCTCGGTCATGGTGACCCATCCAGGACACAGAGACGGTTCTACTAAGTGTTCTTCTCCTGACTCGGATTAGCTGTGTGTGTGTTTCCTGACCTTTGCTGAACACATCTCTAATCCAGCCATCTAAACCCTGTCATCACCTGTCTAATTGGCCTCTCCAAACCATTTCCACTTGGCACAAAATGGAGGTTGAGTTTAATGTTTGTTCATGTAACTGTACAGTGTGCCTCCAGTGTAGAGCAGCGGGATGAGTTATGAGTCATCCACTCATCGAAAGTCCTTGCTAATATGCAGAATGAAGATAATCTACAATAGATTTCCATCCTCAACACTCATTTGCTTCCCGTTTTCCTCTCCACTTTAGTCAGGTAGCCTAGCGGTGCAGAGTGTTGGGCCAGTAACCGAAAGGTCGCTGGTTTGAATCCCAGAGTCGACTAGGTGAAAAATCTGTCAATGTGCCCTTTAGCAAGGCACTTAACCCTAATTGCTCCTGTAAGTCGTTCTGGATAAGCGCGTCGGCTAAATGACTACAATGTATACTGAACAAAAATATAAACGCAACATGTAAAGTGTTGGTCCCATGTTTCATGAAGTGAAAAAAATAATAATTACATCCCTGTTAGTGAGCATTTCTCCTTTGCCAAGATAATCTATCCACCTAAGAGGTGTGGAATATCAAGAAGCTGATTAAACCTTATGATCATTACACAGGTGCACCTTGTGCTGGGGACAATAAAAGGCCACTCTAAAATGTGGCGTTTTGACACACAACACAATGCCACAGATGTCTCAAGTTGAGGGAGCGTGCAATTGGCATGCTGACTGCAGGAATGTCCACCAGAGCTCTTGCCAGAGAATTGAATGTTAATTTCTCTACCATAAGCTCCCTCCAACGTCGTTTTAGAGAATTTGGCAGTATGTCCAACCGGCCTCACAACCGCAGACCATGTGTAACCACGCCAGCCCAGGACTTCCACATCCGGCTTCTTCCCCTGCGAGATCGTCTGAGACCAGCCACCCGGACAGCTGATGAAACTGAGGAATATTTCTGTTTGTAATGAAGTGCTTTTGTGGGGAAAAACTCATTCTGATTGGCTGGGCCTGGCTCCCCAGTGGGTGGGCCTATGCCCTCCCAGGCCCACCCATGGCTGCGCCCCTGCCCAGTCATGTGAAATCCATAGATTAGGGCCTAATTTATATATTTCAATTGGCTGATTTCCTTCTATAAACTGTAACTCAGTAAAGTCGTATTTATATTTTTGTTCAGGTATATATATACAGTATTTCCCCTGTGCCAAACAAGGCTGTCTTCTAGCGTTCTACCACTAGAGGGCGATATGAACTCGTACTGTAGAGTCCATTCTAAGACAATGCCACTCTCTGCGTGTAACGTGTTTCTCTGAATTGTCCTTCCCCTCTTTCAGCATCTTTTCTAAGCAATTATCACAAATATTTGCTCACAGCTTTTAATGGAGCTTTCAAGTGAGTGGAAAGAGCACTTGAGTCCAGGAAACCCTTTATGTGAGTGGGCCTTAGGTAGCGGGGCCTTAGGTAGCGGGTAGTGGGGCTGATAGATAGGGGCCTACTGTTAGTGATCTCTGCCCTCAGGGTACTAGGGGTTAGCATTAGCAGGCCCTCCCGTGGCGCTCCTCTCTTCAGACTGAGGAGGAGCTGTGTGTTGAGGAGCTGTTGACTAGTTGTTGTGCTGCTCTGAGCTGGCAGCTGTGCAGGTGGGGTCTGAGAGGGTGTTTGAGTTGACAGGCTGGCGGAGGTAGTGGATGGCTCCAGGTGAGTGATGAGTGCCTCAGAGGGACTGGAGCACGCTCGCTCGCACACTCACACACACCAGAGAGATGAAGTGTAGACATGAGTGTAATATGTTTTATGTAGACTTTTATTGCAGTATGTAATGCACCGTATTTCCATTTTCTAGGATTCTATATTTATTTATTCTATGTTTCCATTCAAAATGAATTCCAGTGCTAAAGGGCAGTGAACCAGGCTTGCAATGTGCTGTGGTTTGTCATCCTTTAGAGCAGCTGAGGAAATGAGTCTGTGATGACAAGATGCAAGATCAAAAGCACCCAGTGAGACAATTGTAACCCATTATTATCCTTTCTTGCTCTGTAGTCACTACAGTGTGTTAGGGAGTTGAGTTCACATCCTGTATCTTTGTATTTGGATTCAGATCAAGTCTGCTGCCCATAGAACTCTCCCCTCTTAGGAACACTTGTGAAAGAGCTCTGTTGTTGCAGCAAGCATAGCAGACACACTGGAGGAGGACACTGATTCACTTATCTCTTGTCTGGACTGCTGAAGACTGCTCCAAGGTTATGAGAAAGAGACTGAGGCAAATTCTTAACTACCACAGTCCAACATACTCCTACATTCATTAAGGTGGCTTTTGATTTGTATGTGTGGTTAATACACAAGCCCTAAACATTTGATAGTGTTATCTTTGTTGTAGGTTTCTCCCGAGTGGCGCAGTGGTCTAAGGCACTGCATCTCAGTGCTTGAGGCGTCACTACAGACTCCCTGGTTCGATTCCAGGCTGTATCACAACCGGCCGTGATTGGGAGTCCCATAGGGCGGCGCACAATTGGCCCAGCGTCGTCCGGGTTTGGCCTGTGTAGGCCGTCATTGTAAATAAGAATTTGTTCTTAACTGACTTGCCTAGTTAAATAAAGGTAAAATAAAAAATAAAAATCCTTGTTATCCTTCAGCTGAGTCCAGTAACATTTGCAGGTCAGATACTGTATTACTATGTCCTCTCACTGGATCCCATCCCTCTGTAGTTCCTTGTTTCACAAGCAGCCATCCCCCGTTCACGCCTGGATGCAGTATTTTTGAGACCCACCTGTGAGGTTGTACCTACTGTATGTACATTGAACACCTCCACCCATGCTTTCAGACACCGCCATCAGGATGATGGAGAAATAAATATCCCAGAGACACTCTGACATACAATATAACCAAGCATAAACCCAGCCAGGGAAAGGAGATGTCTCAGTGATGAAAGTGTGGAATCAGGCTAAAGCTCCTAGCCTAATCCCTCCCTAAGCCACCTCAAAATGTTGCACTAATTGCAGATGTGCATTAGGTTGACGGGAGGAGCGGATACTGGTGCTCCCAGCGCTAGCATGTGGGGGGGGGGCCTCGGCCGGGCCTGTGTGTGCACCAGGCTCCCTGAGCTGTCAGGGCCTGGGCCAAGGTAGGGAATCCTGAGGTGGGGGAGCCCTGGAGGGATAGAGGGTGGGAGGGAGAGGGAAATGCTCTCCATGCGGGTGACAGGCATCACTCAGCGGAGTGATGTGTGGACTGAGTCCTGAACACGGAAACATCGCACACCCCATCCCCAGGGATTAGTCTGAATGCTAGCAATTAGCTCCACAAACAACAGGGGGAGCTCAGGGCTGGATTAGAGGTGTTATTCACCTGGCCCACACACACAGAGAAAGACACACAGATACACGCACACACACACACACACACACACACACACACACACACACAGAGAGAGACACAGACCAAATCCGCCACCCCCTTCGTCTTTTTCTCTCTTATGCATCCCCACCCTGCATATCTTTCTCTGCCTCTCTCTCTCCACTGTTTACTGTAATGGGACCTTCGATGTTCGAACAGCATTTTCATCACTTTTAAATTCGACACATTCAGAGTAAACATTTTTGTTTTGTTTAGCACAGTATTCAAGATAATTTGAAAGAAAATGTATGAATGAATATAGTGTATCATATAGAAAAGCACATATACCTGTACTATGTAACCTCCAACATATACCTGTACTATACACTATATATACAAAAGTATGTGGACACCCCTTCAAATTAGTGGATTCTGCTATTTCAGTCACACCCGATGCTGACAGGTGTATAAAATCGAGCACACAGCCATGCAATCTCCGTAGACAAACATTGGCTGTAGAATGGCCTTACTGAAGAGCTCAGTGACTTTCAACGTAGCACTGTCATAGGATACCACCTTTCCAACAAGTCAGTTTGTTACATTTCTGCCCTGCTAGAGCTGCCCCGGTCAACTGTAAGTGCTGTTATTGTGAAGTGGAAACATCTAGGAGCAACAACGGCTCAGCCGCGAAGTGGTAGGCCACACAAGCTCACAGAATGGGACCGGCAAGTGCTGAAGCGCGTAGCGCGTAAAACTTGTCTGTCCTCGGTTGCAACACTCACAACCGAGTTCAAAACTGCCTCTGGAAGCAAAGTCAGCACAAGAACTGTTCGTCGGGAGCTTCATGAAATGGGTTTCCATGGCTGAGCAGCTGCACACAAGCCTAAGATTGCCATGCGCAATGCCAAGCGTCGGCTGGAGGTCCCGTGTAGCTCAGTTGGTAGAGCATGGCGTTTGCAACGCCAAGGTTGTGGGTTCGATTCCCACGGGGGGCCAGTATGAAAAATGTATGCACTCACTAACTGCAAGTCGCTCTGGATAAGAGCGTCATGCTAAATGACTAAACACGTTCTCTGGAGTGATTAATCACGCTTCACCATCTGGCAGTCCGACGGACTAATCTGGGTTTGGCGGATGCCAGGAGAACACTACCTGCCCCAATGCATAGTGCCAACTGTAAAGTTGGAATAATGAGGAGGAATAATGATCTGGGGCTGTTTTACATGGTTTGGGCTAGGCCCCTTACTTCCAGCGAAAGGAAATCAACACTACAGCATACAATGACATTCTAGATGATTCTGTGCTTCCAACTTTGTGGCAACAGTTTTTGAAAGGCCCTTTCCTGTTTTAGCATGACAATGCCCCCGTGTACAAAGCAAGGTCCATACAGAAATAGTTTGTCAAGATCAGTGTGAAAGAACTTGACTGGCCTGCACAGAGTCCTGACCTTAACCCCATCGAACACCTTTGGGATGAATTGGAATGCAGCGAGCCAGGCCTAATCGCCCAACATCAGTGCCCGACCTCACTAATGCTCTTATGGCTGAATGGAAGCAAGTCCCTGCAGCAATGTTCCAACATCTAGTGGAAAGCCTTCCCAGAAGAGTGGAGGCTTTTATAACAGCAAAGGGGGGACCAACTCCATATTAATGCCAATGATTTTGGAATGAGATGTTTGACGAGCTGGTGTCCACATACTTTTGGTAATGTAGTGTATAACCTCCAACATATAACTGTACTATATAACCTCCAAGAGAAAGCTTTTAATTGAAAACATGTAAGATTAATGAATTTCTTTGTTTTTACCTTTCAGACTTGTAGTTGGTGCCAGCTGTATCCTTTTGACTGTGCTTGAACATGAGTCACTGGTTACACTGTGTAGTGTCACAGTGAGTTGTTGTGGAGCATGTGACTTGCCTGGCCCTAATGTTGAAGGCAAAAAGTGGTGAATTGCAGGTCGTGGTGACCCCGTCTTCCTAGACTGGGTGACCCCACAGTCTATCTCTACCTGTTATGCTCCGGTTTCTCAGTTGTCAAATGTGCTTTAACTAAAGATAGACAAGGTTCCTCTATGAGAGCGTTTGTGTTGTTCTGTTTTCCTGAACACTGGGATGAAGATGTGGCCCTGGAGTGTGCTGGCTTCCTGACAGGTATTGGGCTGGACACCACAGTCATGGTGCGCAGCATCCCCCTCCGGGGCTTTGATCAGGTACTGCTGCTCTTTTGGCATTTTTTTATAGCTTGTACACTATTTCAAATAATTTCTTATTTGTCTATACATGTTTATTATACAGTACTGTCTGTTGATTAAACTGTAGCCACAATTCAAGTTTTAGAGATATGTATGAAGTCAAAGTATAATTTATCACTGTTATTTTATAGATTTATTTTGTTGTCTACTGATGGTATTGGGGGCTTTCCTTTACAAATCTAAGTTTGGAATAATGCTTCTCCCAAGTTGGAGTGCTGGAAAGGAAACGACCTGTATTTCCCTCTTGTGTGTGCTGCAGCAAATGGCAGGGCTAGTGACAGACCATATGGAGGCCTATGGCACCAAGTTCTCCTGGAGGAATGTCCCTAAGAGAGTGGACAAGCTGTCATCTGGGGCGCTGCAGGTGACCTGGACAGACAAACAGACAGGAAAGGACCAACAGGACACCTTCGACTCTGTGCTGTGGGCCGTAGGTGAGTGTGTCTGGGGAGGAAGATAATTGTCACACAAATTACTACATTAGGGTATTACTGTTTGAAAGAAGTCCCTACCATTTTAGTAGTAGCTGCAATCACGTGTGTTAAGTAGGCCACATAACATACAATAGGCTATGCAACGACGTATCCTGAGATAATGTATCAGTTGAACTACTCGTCGTCCTCCCTTTCCATTTGTTTTATTGTCATCCACAATAGAGTGCATTGTCAGCAGACTGAGAGGGTATCAAGCTCAAAAACAAGGTAATAAAGTGTGAGTGATGGAATCACCAGGGGAAGTGTTAATCACCCAGCCCAGTGCTGGGTCCTGGTCCTGGGTTCTGGCTCAGGAGGGGAGCAGGATGCACCCAGGCACGGGGTCACTGCATTCCCTCCTTTGTTCTCCCACTCTGCTCTGGGCTTTCCTGCCCGTCGTGCCAGCCGTGCGGAAACCAGGCTGCCCGGCCGCACCACCTCATCCACCCCGCAGCATCTGCACAGCCGGCCCTGTCTGTCTGCGGCTCTGCGCACCCACCAGACCTCTCTCGCACAGTTATTTTCTCTCTTTATCACACCATGTCATTTCTCTCATTCCGCCAACCAGCACAATGGAGGGAACTTCCACCTGGCTGCCCAGCCGACGTTTATTTGTGTTGAGATGGTCCCAAAACCTGACCTTACACCACACTGAGTCCCAGCAGTGTGTGTGTACCAGCCAGGACAGTACCAGCCAGGACAGTACCAGCCAGGACAGGCTAGGGCGGGTGTCTCTCTCTCTGCCTGTGCGTGTGACAGGGACCAGGATATGGGTGACCTTTATGGAGAGATTACGTTCTTCCCGCCCTGGCAGGTTGCTGGGGGAATATGAACATCAAGGCACAGTGTCGAGTCTGTCGAGTCACTGCACTCAAAATACCCAGACCTTGAGACTAATGGGAAATTGGCAGCAGGAACAATATTTTCAGAGTTGTTATATTTCAGTGGATAGACATTCTTCATGGTTGAGATGGTGCAAGCAGTGCAGGTCTCACATCCTCCCCTGCCCTCTGTGTATGTGGGTTATTGGTTGTAAGAGGAATATGACTTTATTAATACCTGATTGCTACCTTACATTACTACCTTACGGTATAGGCTATAGTCTATTGCGGGCTTTACCCTGGTGTTGTCGTGCAGGGCAATGAGTACATCTACATCCACTCCTGGGCCTCTGCTTTGAAGTGTGTCTGTATGTCTGTCTGTCTGACTGTGGGAGTTATGAGTGGGCCTCTCTCCACTTCCTCAATGTGCCCTTTACACTACAGGTCAGACTGGGTCTGTGCCCTCAGTGGAGCTATAAAAGACTGTGGGTGTGTCCTGATTCTCCACCCTTTTCTCAAAGAGTGCACTTGCATACTTCCCGTCATGGATTTAACAATGGTGGAAACTCCCTCTAGCCAATGATTACACTTGCATTGATTAATGCTTGTAAATCAATGATGGAAAGTGTGCAAGTGCAGTGAACTACTCAGAGGGAGGGATAGGAGGCTGGTGTTGGTGGTCTGTTCCAGTCCTGTAGCTATAGCTGCTTCTCCATGCTCAGCCTTCCCAACCCCAAGGCCTATCCTTCCTCAGGACTGCACCCTAGGCCAGGTGGCCAATTGCACAGAGGAGGAAACAGCGTATTTCCTCTGGGTGTACAACACAACTCTTCTCTCCCACCTATTTGTGTTACCCCAACCCTTTTCCTCTCAGATTTTGAGAGGGACACCAAAAGAGGTTGAAGTTTGTGTGATGCATATGCCTCCATATGAACTGAAGTAGTTGGATGTGAAGCCTCTCTGAGAGAAGCCTACTCCCAATACTCAGAAAAGTCTCTCTGAGCCAAAGTGCGGAATCTGATACAATCATATCTCTCTTATGCTCATTTTAGGCCTTAAATAGACTGCCTTCTCAGAAAACTATTTTTGGAGACAAAATCATTGATTTCCCCAAAATGCAGTCTGTCATTATTTTCTCTTATCTATGTTCATTTGATTGATGTAAAAAGCTGCCATGTAGGCCTAGCTGGTCTCATTTCAAGTCGTGCCAGAAAGCTTGTTGTGGCTAATTAGCTGTTGGGTCTTGAGATTTCCTCTGTGTGCTACAACAGTCATTGTTCAGCATAGTCCTATCAGGCCTGCCTGTCATTGGCTGTCATTGCCCCTGTGTGTGGCTCCACACTCACTGAAGGCTCTTATCAGCAGACCCTCTGTTGTTGTGTCCACACCACACAATGGAACAGTGGCACTCCAACAGTCTCCAATCCTAGAGGGAGAAACCCAGTTAGGCAGGAAAGGCCAGTCGTGAGTGGCTCTAGTAGCCTAGTCTATACATATAGAGAACAGACTGGATATTAGTCTAGGATAGCCCTCCTGACTCCAGTCTCAGTGGTGGTTGGTAGAACTGAGCTGTGATTTGGTAGGGTGGGGCAAGACCTCCTAAGAACCAACTTTTTGTAAACACAACTCATGCTACAATGTCCAACTATGCACTGTCTCTTAGGTAAGGTAATCATGCAGTGTGCTCTCCCGCTGGTATACATAAAAAAAGATCGATATACTTTGAGAAAGGCAGTCGTGACAGGTAGAGATCCCTGTGTTAGACCTAGTCTGCATAGTTGAACACTGGTGGCTCTGCATGGGCCTTCTAGACTAGCCTAGTGCAACTGCTCCAGGAAAATAGCTGCTATGAGCCTCACTGCCTGTCTCTCTACCACCCGTGCTGCAGTATAGGACAGGTCCCTCGGCCCTCCCAGTCCCAGGTCTGGCTGCAGCGGAGGAAGTTGTGCCTCGGCTCCAGCCAGGAAAAGGGTCTTGTTGGGGTTTGTTATTCTTGTCGTCCGATAGCATCTACGTGGGTACCTCTGGGCCCTACCAAGAAGGGGGGGGGGGGTTATTGTGTTACCCAGGCAGGGAGTGAGAAGGTGGGGAGGAGAGGGGGAAGAGGAGGGAGGCAGAGAGCCTCGACTAGGTCCTGGCCGGGCTGCAGGGGTGCTTGGTGCTCACCATCGCCATAGAGATGGGGTGACGAGATGGGCAAGCGTTGACAGCATCAGTCAACCGTACCGCAGGAAGTGGCAGAAATGACAACCAGCACCCCAGGTGGCTGATGGGATGCCTTCCTATCCCCCGCCAGCTCATTATTCACTCCGCCACCAAAAGACTCCCTCGCTCCCCCTCTCCCAGCTGTGCAGATGTTTTTTCTTCTAATTGCTGGATAAGATTTGCCTCTTTCTTTGTGTTGGATGGAGAGTCGCAGGACATGCCTTTAAGTTAAACCCTTAGCGTGCCAACTCAATGGTATGTGTTATGAACACTGAGCAACAGTTTGATTTTTTCTAAGAATCTTAAGATTCCCGTAACCTCCCCTCTCTCTCTTAATGTGTAATATAATATTGAGTTTCTGTCTTTGATTTCCTCCGTTTGACCATAGGCAGAGCCCCTGAAACTAAAACTCTCAGCCTGGAGAAAGTTGGCGTCAAGCTCAACAAGGAGTCGGGGAAAATACTTGTGGCTGCTGACGAATCCACATCTGTGCCGAACATCTACGCTTTTGGCGATATCGGCGAGGTAGGTGTTGATCATGTCCGTCATCCTCACAGCGTACCCACCCAGCCTTAAAACACCAACATGAACCTCTTCAGGAATGTATGGAAGACTGAAATGAATAGGCCTACCAAGGCGATACTTTATGCAAGAAACCATTGGGATGCAAAAAGTTGAAATTATACTGTAGTTCGCTCTTCAATCCCAAATGATTGAGCTAGATGGACACCATCTAATTTCATCACTTCAGATGTTGCCTATCTTTCCAATTCATTTGAGATTTAAGCATATAGCTGGAGCTACACAACAGATGGCGTGGGACACGGACTCCTCTCAAACTACTGTACTGCTTATCACAATACTCTTTCTACATGTATCAAATGTCAGTCCTGTCTTTTAATGAGGCCAGCTGTGGATTTCCTAACTTCAACAGGCCTCTTCAGACAGTTAGATTGACACAGGCCTTTGATGAGTCACTCTTAGCCCTGATGCCTGTCATCTTTCCACATACTGGGAGACTTTTTAAAAGGGGGTGGATTGATATTTAAGTCTATGTCCAAACAGAGCACCTTTTTGTGTTGAGACATTGAAGAGCACCTGTGGACTGCCAAGAAATGCATTACTATGACGCAGACTGAAGTAGTGTGTAAACACAATTACGGAAATAGCACCACACACACCTCCAGCGCTGGAGGAGCTGTCTTAGACACCAGGATGTGCAGCAGCGGTGGTAATCAAACTGGTTGCTCTAGATGTACACCAGCCCCTGTCATCTGGACAAACAGGTGGCAGAGCTGCAGGGTGAATTCTTTCTGAAAGCATGAATTAAAGGGATACTTCGGGATTTTGGCAATGATGCCCTTTATCTACTTCCCCTTAGTTGGATGAACTTGTGGATAGCTTTTTTATGTCTCTTTGTCCAGTATGAAGGAAGTTAGAGGTAGTTTCATGAGCCAATGCTAACTAGCGTTAGTGCAATGACTGGAAGTCTATGGTATCTAGTAGGCTTTGTGGAAGTAGATAAAGGGCCTTATTGCCAAAATCCCAAAGTATCCCTTTAAGTCATGCTTTCAGAAAGAATTCACCCTGCAGCTCTGCCACCTCCTGTATTGTTAAATTGTATGTAGGTGTTTGTACAGATGACAGGGGCTGGCGTACATCCAGAGCTACAGGGTGCATCCCAAATGGCACCCTATTCCCTATATAGTGCACTACTTTTGACCAGAGCCCTATGTGAATAGGGTGACATTTGGGATGCATCCACAGTCAATTATAATCCTCCTCAGTACATTACAGTACAGTCAGAAGCAGCATGTTGTGGTATGCCTTTACACTTGTACCTGTATACGGGTTGAAAATGGCAGATCTGGGCGCTGATAACCTCCTAAATTGGATGGCAGTGGCTGTACAGTGTCATGCTATACATGACGTCAGAGCTCAGGGTCTCCGCTTCACAGTGCTGTATGGGTTTTGACTGACAGCCGTTCTGGACATGAGCACCGCATGCGACAAGAAGTTGCCCCCCATCCCTCCCGCTAACTGGGCAACTTTTGCAAATTGTTTTGTTGTCTGAGTGAGGGAAATGCTGTAAATTATGTGGACTCAATGTATTTTGAAAGATGAGACGTTGCGGATTACATTTTACATTACATTTACATTTTAGTCATTTAGCAGACGCTCTTATCCAGAGCGACTTACAGTTGGTGAATACATCTTTTTTTTTATACTGGCCCCCCGTGGGAATCAAACCCACAACCCTGGCGTTGCAAACGCCATGCTCTATCAACTGAGCTACATCCCTGCCGGCCATTCCCTCCCCTACCCTGGACGACGCTGGGCCAATTGTGCGCCGCCCATGAGTCTCCCGGTCGCGGCCGGCTGCGACAGAGCCTGGATTCGAACCAGGATCTCTAGTGGCACAGTTAACACTGCGATGCAGTGCCTTAGACCACTGCGCCACTCAATAAATACCGCTTTGATGTCATACAAGCAAACCAAACACCCTTGAGTCCAAATGTGCAATTCCTACGAGTGTAACAATCAGTTGGGTAGAGTGGGGAAATTTGACGGAGGATACAAAAGCTATGTTTGTTTTTCAGTGTGCTAAGCAGTTACGAAACCTTTATTAGTCAATGCCATTGTCATGGTTGTGTGTTCAAGCTGGAGGCTACAAGTTAGTCTACACAGGGACAACTGTCCCCTCTCGCTCTCTAAATAGCGAAAGGGCCTGTGTTAAGGAGGTGCGCTCTGTGACTGTGTGTTTTGTGCGTGGCCTGCATGCATACACACTGTCTGTCTGCTTCCCTGTCTGTCTGTCTGTCTGTCTCCTCTCTCTGTTTATCTGTCTTTGTCTGTCTGTCAGTCTGTCTCTCCGTGTTCTCCTGTCACTCATTAGCGTTGTTCTGTGTTTCCAGGGTCGACCTGAGTTGACCCCCACAGCCATTAAGGCAGGGAAGCTCCTCGCCCGCAGGCTTGCAGGCCAGACCAATGAGCTCATGAACTACGACAACGTGAGTAGACACACACACACCAAACACACACACTACTCCCATGCTTTCCCCCCCATCTCTCTACAGTTGTCTGTATGCGGCCTTTGAAGTCTTTGTTTTATGCTTCTGTTTGAGTGTGTTAAATCAGCTCCACTTCTGTGTATTGTGGTTTTAATGCCTAGTCGTTGTTTTCCCTGGATTATGCAGCCTGGTCTGACTCATGGAGTTTTAATGGGACACACTGCACGTCTTCTGCACCTCTTCCAAATGTTAATTCCTAAACCATTCGTAATAAGACTTATTGCTTAAATGCCTATTGTTTGTGCTCTAATTTCATCTTCGTTCCTTTTTTGTGGTCTTTTGTAGCTTTGTTATATTACCAATGTATTTTACTCCCAGTGGTAGATGGTGGGAGATACAGTAGGTGACATGACAGGCCTGTAGAATGGGTCTGCCTATCTATGACTTTGTTTGCGTTGCCTTGTTTGCTGTATCCCTGACTTTCTGTCTGTCCGTTTGCCACCCCACTGGAGAATTGCTGTGTGGGGCTGTCTATCATCATGTAACATGATGTAACAAGACTTTATGTGCCCTCTGATTGGTTGTGTTCCTAGGTTGCCACCACAGTGTTCACCCCTCTGGAGTATGGCTGTGTGGGCCTATCAGAGGAGGAGGCTGAGAGCAGACATGGGAAGGACTCCATAGAGGTACAATAGACCTCATCCTAAACCACTAACATGGTAGCTAGCTGGTATTCTAACTGAATGGAGGTCTGCCGAGGTCTGCTGGGGAAGCTTTCAGTTCTTAAAGTATTGTGAATCCTGGTGTGCCTCTGTCTACTGCTTTATACATTTGTGAAATAGAAAGTAGTGTGTGTGTGTGTGTGTGTGTGTGTGTGTGTGTGTGTGTGTGTGTGTGTGTGTGTGTGTGTGTGTGTGTGTGTGTGTGTGTGTGTGTGTGTGTGTGTGTGTGTGTGTTGTGTGTGTGTGTGTGTGTGTGTGTGTGTGTGTGTGTGTGTGATTGCGTGTGCGTTTCGCTCCGTGTGTATATGTGTGCAGCATGCCAGCTGCTAACACCTGCACCCAGAGAGCCCCGGCCTGTTGTAGAGCGAGGTGTTGCTCCACTGTGTGATTGACAGGTGAGCAGAGGGCCTGATTGACGTGTGTATCAGGTGCTGACAGGCCCTGCGTGATCTAAAGCTCCGCGGCAGGAGAGGTGCACCATGGGTCCTGACAGCTGCCTGTGTGCATGGCCCGGCCGGCAACTTGTGTCGGCACGCTCGCTGGCTCAATATAAAACACACACCATGAAACCAGGGTCTGAAATGGATCTTTTAAAACGAGCAAAGTGTTTTGAAAACAGTATTATAATTCCAGATTCATAGTGAACGATCTGATATGTAAAATACTTTTACGGACAAAAACACTGGTCTCACTTCGTTTCTTCTTTTTGTTTTTAACAGTAATTATGTTGTAACATTATTGTAACTAAGTGATGTCTTGATAGCATAAATGAATGACATTATTGGTGGACTAATGGACATGTATCCCTCTGTTGTTCTCTGTCCAGGTGTACCATGCCTTCTACAAGCCTCTGGAGTTCACTGTGGCTGAGAGAGATGCCAGCCAGTGTTACATAAAGGTCAGAACAGCCCTCAGAGTAGGGTTGCAAAATTCCAGTACATTTCCCAAATTTCCCAGGTATTCCAGAAATCCCGGTTGGAGGATTCCTGGATTTTCTGCTTATTCCCTCCTGATTCCAGGAATTTTCCAACTGGGATTTCTGGAAAACCTTAGAATTTTGGCAAAGTTGCTGGAATTTTGCAACCTTACCTCAGATCATCCCACTGTCACATACTGCGTAGCCTGTAGTGTGTTGAAAGGCCTTATGTTGCCTCTGAAGTGAACCCTGGAGGTTTAGGGGGTGTAACGTTGGTTCTCTCACCGCCTAAGGTGGTGTGTAAGCGGGGTGGAGACCAGAGAATCCTCGGCCTGCACTTCACTGGCCCCAACGCTGGAGAAGTCACCCAGGGCTTTGCTATGGGCTTCCAGTAAGTCAACCACTCTGCTTGATGGAGTTAGATAGGGACTGAAAGTAGATCATACAGATGTTGTAGGGTTGTGGTTAGTTTGTAAGAAACTGCTAAACTGCTAAAATGCATAGTTCTCATACTAACAGATGTTAGATCTGTAGATTCAGTAATTCATCAAAAATGAATGGATGTCATGTACATTGTAGACTGCATATAGGTGAGTATATACGTGACAAGGTGAGCCTGAACAAAAATATAAACGCAACATGTAAAGTGTTGGTCCCGTGTTTCATGAGCTGAAAATGTTCCATATGAGCAAAAAGTTATTTCTCTCAAATTTTGTGCACAAATTTGTTTACATCCCTGTTAGTGAGCATTTCTCCTTTGCCAAGATAATCCATCCACCTGGCAGGTGTGGCATATCAAGAAGCTGATTAAACAGCATGATCATTACACAGGTGCACCTTGTGCTGGGGACAATAAAAATACACTTTAAAATGTGCAGTTTTGTCACACAACACAATGCCACAGATATCTCAAGTTTTGGGGGAGCGTGCAATTGGCCACCAGAGCTGTTTCCAGATAATTGAATGTTAATTTCTCTACCATAAGCTGCCTCCAACATCGTTTTAGAGAATTTGGCAGTACTTCCAACCGGCCTCACAACCACAGACCACATGTAACCACGCCATTGGCTGATCCTGGCTCTATAGTGGGTGGACCTGGCTGCCAAGTGGGTGGGCCTATGCCCTCCCAGGCCCACCCATGGCTGCACCCCTGCCCAGTCATGTGAAATCCATAGATTATGGCCTAATGAATTTATTTCAGTTGACTGATTTCCTTATCTGAACTGTAACTCAATAAAATCTTTGCAATTGATGCATGTTGCGTTTATATTTTTGTTCAGTATAGTAAGAGAAACCTAAAGATGGGAGAATGGGTGGTTCTGTCAGGACAGGAGTCGGTAGTATGAATGAGATGTCTGTGTCTGTCTGTCTCTCCAGGTGTGGGGCCACCCTCACTCACCTGATGGAGACAGTGGGGATCCACCCCACTTGTGCCGAGGAGCTAACCAAAGTCAACGTCAGCAAGCGCTCAGGGCTGGACGCCACGGTTACTGGCTGCTGAGGTTAAGCACCCCCTTCTCTGAACACACCTGAGCACACGGGAAGGAACCTCCTCGTAGAGACAGGGAATGTGTCCCAAATGGCACCCTCTTCCTTATGTAGTGCACTACTTTTGACCAGGGCCCATAGGCCTCTGCTCAAAAGTAGTGCACTATAAAGGCAATACGGTGCCATTAGAGACGCATACAGGGAAGTAGTTGTAATGCATATACAGTATGTGCATATACATAGCTTTATATATATGGCTCTGGTTGCAACACTTTCTTGTCTCCTAGCCACCTCATAACGGTCCATGTGAAACCCGTAGAAGCACTCTCTGCTTAACATCCCAGAATCAGGTCTCCACTCCTCCTCTCCACTCCGTTTGACTGTGTCTTATCATTGCAGGGTCCTCCAGGTCATGACTGCAATGCTATATCTGGGGAAGGCAAGATTTGTGTCAGGTTTGACTAGTGGTCACATTAACCAGGCCATGGTTACCCAATTTAGCCCAGTAATGTATGTAGTATGTCCCCTTCTCCCACTTTGAAAGCCATAAGGAGTTCTAGACCCAGGTTCGTGAAAACGTCCAGCTACAAGCAGCATCCTTTTAAATACACTGTCTCATAAATCAGGATTAGGGCCCATTCCAGTTTGTTGAAACAGAACTGTATAAGAGAGAGAAAGCCGGGCAACTAATGTTTCTGAAATATATTCAGCAAATATTGTTGTTTCTCCGCCTGTTCTTCCTGTCCATTAGTCTTGAAAGTGACACATGCGTTGCCCGGGTGACACTGATGGATGGGCCCAGGGCCGTCGCCGCGGTGACACCACCCCGTTTCCCATGGACACACACAAACAGTCGGCGGGCTGGCTGTCAGTCAGAGGGGTGCAGAGCAGCATAGGGCCCAGTCTGGGCCAGAGTGCAGAGCGCTTGATTAGGCCTCGAACTCACTCCAGCACTCTGCTCTCTCCCCCCTCTCACCTCCCCTCACCCCCAATGCACAAAGGAATACAGTGGGACTACAATAACAGCCTCTGTCAGTCTGTTTGTGGGGACGCCTTGGCTAGCAAGCTCTGGCAACCCAATCCTTCTATGGGAGAGATGGAGGGAAGGAAACTGCCTGGGCCTGTGCCTGGGCCACAGTGGTGGCAGTACTCAACGCTGCCTAAAGGTGGCGGTATTGCCCTCTTATTTTCTTAGAAAAACTTGCCAGTCAATAAATGTTAGGGTAGTGAAGTTAGTGTATAATGAATAAGCCCTGGCGCATTCAAGGTGCACATTTTAATCCTTTAATCCTTATTTGAGATATCTGTTATTGAATGAATGTGGAGACCATGGAGGGTTTTGTAGCGCCAACTGATAACATTGTGTATTTACATGGCTGGCAGTTTAGCCCACAAAGTCATCAGCCTCTGAGATAAGGCAATTTGTTTATTTCACTTAACTGGCATTATACTGTTGTGATTTTGACCAGTCACATAAATGATGTCGTGCTATTCAAGTCTTCAAACGTCAAGTACACCATTCCACACCAGTCCACTCTTCTCCCAATCATCCTTTCCTATAAGTACTGAAAGCTTAGAACTATGCAGTGCTGGACTGAGCTGGACAGGTCATGCAGTGCAGTTTGAGTGGAGTGGGGAGCGGTGGAGCTGAGGGGAGCTAAGAGGAGGACACTGGGCTGGTTTATTTGTGTTTGAACTCTAATCTGCCTGGCCTGATTAATGATCCTGATGAGGGGAGTGACAGCGCACTGCGCAGGATGATGGAGGGAGGGGAGAGCGGAGAGCAACAGCGCTACCAGGTTTATTTGGACCCGGGGTTGAGGGAGGGAGAGCGAGGGATGCAGCCAGACCAGGGGAAGAGGTGGAGGAGGGGATGGAGAGGTGGAGGAGGTGTAGAAGGAAGGGCCGATTCCTGTGTGCTCCGTTCAGGGACGGGGTGCTGACTGAAGGACCCTGACCCCCGCTCGGCAGGAACAGCTTGACTCTATCACCCACTACACGGGCTGAGGCTGGGGCCATTCAACACACACTGCCTGGTGTATCTGGTGTATTTAGCCAGGCAAATTAGTATATGCCTCATCTTGACGAGGCACTCAGTCCAGAGAGCAGGCTGCTACTGTTGATCCCATCTAACAGTAAGGTCCTGTATTTTCTGCATGAAGCTGCACAAACGCACAATTTAGAAGTTAGAATCATATTTATGACTGAATCATTAATTTGTTATTGTATTGTTTGAAATGTCTCTGTTAATTGTTGTTGATAGACAAAGTGCCTTGGGCCTAGGGGCTTAAATGGGAGAGCAGAATCAGCCTCAGCCTTGCAGAATGTAATGGGTCAGGGTTCAACTTTCAGGTCGCCAGCTAATGATAACTTGCACTAAAACCCACAACTGGGGAGGGCATGTCTGATGACACCTGGCGACCAACTTTAGTTACTGTAAATAGAGTAGCCTAATTAACAATTATTTATATGTAAAAGAAGGAATAAAATATGAGAATGCATTGTCTCCCATTAAAATAATGATGTCCTCTGTTTCACCTGGCTTGCCTTTCTGTCTGTGTCCGTGTGCATGGGTGTCTCCATCTGTGTGTGTCCGTGGCTCGATGGTTGTTAGTTCAGCTCTGCGTCGGAGGCTGTGTGGTGTAGTGCAGCCCTGTCACTCAACCCTCTGGACCAACAATGGCAACAAATTCCTCTCTGTTTGTTTGGTTAAGGACCGGGCTCTCACAAACCCAGAAACTCCTTAGAATCCCCAAGCAGCTTCACCCCTGAACTGAGGCCCGTGTCAATCTGAAATCTGCCCTCAGACTAGCAAGAAAGTTAATTGCGTGATAGTGAACAGCAAAAGGCTTTGTGTTTTTATTTCCCTCCAAAAACTGAGCAAACAGGTTAACAAACAGGTTAAATCCAGCTTGGTAGCACACTTAGCAGAACATGTAAACATGTCAAGGTGCGTTCAGTGATATTTTCAGTCTTAATAGCCCATTGAAGGTAGACAGTCTTGACTGTGAGTCGACATTCACAGGGCCATTGTGACTTTACTCCCTGAGCCCTTACAGACAACTCTGGGAGTTGCACACAGACACACACGAAGGGGTACGCAGCCCCACGGCCGGGCCCAAAGCCCTGGGATGAGGACGAGGGTGAGGAAGGAGACAAATTCCTGCCTTGTGTAAAAGTTTGCGGAAAAATTAAGCTGGAAACCAAAAAGGCTAAAACAGGCGAGGATTATCCGGCAGAAATGAATAGGGGCCAATTATGGCCGAGCTATTGTGGTGCCTGTGTCTTCCTCTGAGCTGTCTGACAGCCTGAGTTGCCTGGAGGGACAGGGCGGGGTGCTGCTGGAGGGTGGTACCAGGAAAACTTGAAGATGCAATATGCAAGAATCGCTCTGCCATTTCCTGGTTGCAGAAATTGTAATAGTTTGCCTAATTTCAGTTTACAGTATGTGACAAAACAAGCACTCCGAGTGTAGAGAATCATTGTACCATCTAAACCGCTGTGGAATATCTTTTTCAATAACCAAAATATTGTATTTTCAGCTGTTTGAAGCTGGTAAAAGTAAAAGATGCAAAAACTAAACTTAAGAAAGGGAAGCATGAAGAACAGGAGAAAGTAAGTAAGCTATATATACAGGGTCTGTTTCAATGCCATATTTATAATGTGCAGGGATACTGGAGTGATAGAGGAAGATACTCTACATTACCAAATGTATGTGGGACACCTGCTCGTCAAACATCTCATTCCAAAGTCTTGGGCATTAAAATGTAGTTGGTCCCCCCTTTGCTGATATAACAGCCTCCACTCTTCTGGAAAGGCTTTCCACTAGATGTTGGAACATTGTTGCGGGGACTTGTTTCCATTCAGCCACGAGCATTAGTGAGGTCGGTCACTGATGTTGGGCGATTAGGCCTGGCTCGCAGTCGGCGTTCCAATTCATCCCAAAGGTGTTTGATGGGGTTGAGGTCAGGGCTCTGTGCAGGCCAATCAAGTTCTTCCACACCGATCTCGACAAACCATTTCTGTATGGACCTCGCTTTGTACACGGGGGCATTGTCATGCTGAAACAGGAAAGGGCATTCCCCAAACTGTTGCCACAAAGTTGGAAGCACAGAATCGTCTAGAATGTCATTGTATGCTGTAGCGTTAAGATTTCCCTTCACTGGAACTTAGGGGTCTACCCTGAACCATAAAGAACAGCCCCAGACCATTATTCCTCCTCCACCAAACTTTACAGTTGGCACTATGCATTGGGGCAGGTAGCGTTCTCCTGGCATCCGCCAAACCCAGATTAGTCCGTCTGACTGCTAGATGGTGAACCGTGATTCATCACTCCAGAGAACGTGTTTCCACTGCTCCAGAGTCCAATGCTAGCGAGCTTTACACCACTCCTGCCGACGCTTTGCATTGCGCATGGTGATCTTAGGCTTGTGTGTGGCTGCTCAGCCATGGAAACCCATTTCATTAAGATCCCGACAAACAGTTATTGTGCTGACTTTGCTTCCAGAGGCAGTTTAGAACTCGGTAGTGAGTGTTGTAACTGAGGACAGTTGATTGTTACGTGCTACGCGCTTCAGCACTCGGCGGTCCTGTTCTGTGAGCTTGTGTGGCCTACCACTTCACAGCTGAGCCGTTGTTGCTCCTAGACTTTTCCACTTCTCAATAACAGCGCTTACAGTTGACCGGGGCAGCTCTAGCAGGGCGGAAATGTTACGAACTGACTTGTTGGAAAAGTAGCATCCTATGACGGTGCCACGTTGAAAGTCACTGAGCTCTTCAGTAAGGTCATTCTACTGCCAATGTTTGTCTATGGAGATTGCATGGCTGTGTGCTAGATTTTATACAGCTGTCAGCAACGGGTGTGACTGAAATAGCCGAATCCACTAATTTGAAGGGGTGTCCATATATTTTTGTATATATATATATATATATATAGTGTATGTATAGGGGTAAGGTCACTAGGCATCAGGATATATGATCAACAGAGTAGCAGCAGCATATATGATGATTGTAAACCCATATGTGAGAATGCTGTTCATTGACTACAGCTCAGCGTTCAACACTATAGTGCCCTCCAAGCTCAACACTAGGCTAAGGACCCTGGGACTGAACACCTCCCTCTGGA